TATTGCACATAAGTTTTGGCAGATATGAAAAACCTTTATGCCATAGAAAATCTTAGAAAAGTACTAAGAAAAATCAAAACAGAATAGTAAAATTTCATGAATACCTTACCTAACTTATTGCAAATATCATCACTTAAAACATACAGTACTTAGCACGACAATAAAGTTCTATGATTATTATTATATTGTATAAAGCTGAAATCAGTATACTCAGGATATCAGTAACATTACTTATCTGTGCTTATTGCTGTTAACAGCTCAAGATTTGGCATTATTTTTTAGCTATATCTAGTTTACTTCTTCACAAAATGTTAACAACAATAACTTATACTTATTTGACAGCTTCACTACAGCCAATAATTCCTTTCCGAAATTTTTACTTTGAAGTAATAATGCCAAAGGTTTTTAGCAAGCTTATTACCTTATCATAGTAGTATGCTGATCTTAATAAATGCATCAATATCTTCTTCACTAGATAAAACTTACAAAATTTAGCAATGAATACTTATACATACAAAATATGCATCGTAAAATTCACGAATATAACGATATCTATAAATGTTTTTTCCATAATTTTCCAAAATTAAATCTCGATAACAGTTTAATAATCATGCACTCCACCATATAAAAGTTTTAGAAATTTTCAGCGGACAAAGATGGCTTATAGCATAGTTAGTAAGCAATATTATAATTTTGATTAATTCGTTGAGTAGTCCTAATCGGAAACTATTACAAGAAGGAAGCAGCAATGGAAAATTTCATTAACGTACTTTCAGGGCTATGGTTGTTTAAATATATAATTAGACGCGCTTTTTACTAGCCCCACTTTCAATCCCAAAATTCAGTACCGAGCACTAAATCATCAACAACTTTCATAGTACAATTAAAAAAAAGAGATTAACTACCACTGCTAGAAAAATTAAGACACTTAGATATAACCAGTATCGAAGAAAATTTGATTGCTTTTTAGTCTGGCTTATATCTTCACTTTGCGCTATTAATTGACTGTTGTATAACTAAAGTAGTTGTACTGATAAAGTAATCGGTCTCAATCTGATGTACCTTTGATTTCATATGATAATTTCAAGTAAACTAAATTCGAGGGATTATAAAATTATTAGCTTGGCTTTATAAGAACAGATCGCTTGTTTTACTGTATATTAATTAAATTTGGCATGATAAAACAAAATAATCAATTGACATTATTTTAAATCTCTATAATAGCTACTGAAAATTATACACCTCTTGCGTGAGATTTAAAGCGGATATCTATATCAAAATAAGCTTACTTTAAATTTAATGCAGGATCTGAGCCTTGCCCAAGCGATTGGTACTTTTATGGCCCAGAAAATGTTTGTTTACACTTGGTTGACAAGAACGCTAAATTTCACATTGCTAAGAAAACCTGCTGGAATAATTTTACCGCAGGGCTCTTATACATCGATAGTGCTAAGAAGGAAAACTTCATTAAGACTAACATTATTGTCAATAAGCATACGTTTTATTGGCTTGGATTAAAAGACCTTGTTGGTGATGATAAACTAGAATCTCACCGATGGCTAGCTTCGAATAAAACCTTGGCGGAAAGCAATTATATAAATTTGGCAAATAATAGACCACCCAGGATAGATGCATATAAATGTATTATCATATATTTTCGACGGACGCCTGAATGGCGGGAAGAAAGATGCGGTAGTAAAAATAAATTCATCTGCGAAAAAGGTTTAGAAACAAAGTTAATCAATCTGCATTTAAATACAAATGAAGAGCAAATGCCTTCCTAAACCGATTCAAGATATAGGCCGAGCTGTTTTTTATCCGTTTCATTCCTAAATTCAGCCATTTCACGATAATTTATTTGTTAAAGTTGTTTAAAATGTGCTAAGTTATTTTCTTTAGCTTTATTCTTTGTCAAACACAAGACAAATTTTACGTAGTAATCACACCGCTTAGTTCTAATACAATTGCAGTAACGGTAATAAATTTATTAAGTCTAGTAATACCAATTTATAAGACTTCTTCTTGTAAAATATATTGACAGAGCATTGAATAATTTTTCTCTTTGCTTAGCTGCAAGTTCTTCAGCAATGGTATCCGCAACAAAAAGTTCCTTGGGTATGTATTTTGAATAAATTTCTTGCAGCTTACTATTTATTATAGTGATTTTCTATTCAAATTTTCTAAATATCATGGTATTGAATGAATTGCGGCATTTCATTCAGCTATGATCTCATCCTCAGAAGGACGATATAGTAAACATGTTAAATGATGCGATTACTCTTACATGTAAACATTAATTTCACGAATACAAAATTAACGTGCGTAATGATCGAAATTATTTATTCATTAGTTAGTTCTAAGTTTATGCCTTTCCTAGCAGCGATATAAGATATAGACTGTAAATTCTTCTAACATGAGTATAGCATGATTAACCAATATTTATTACTGCTATTGGAACCCAAACCTGTTATCAACTATAACAGCGTTTAATTTTCAACTTTATAATTAAATCTCAAAGCTATGTTCATATTAAAGTTAGCTGCACAGTAATTTATCTTGGTAGAAGATTTAAATCAGCTTATAAATAGTAGTAAGCAATCCCAATATTATATTATGTTGCAAGAAAAATGTTTGTCCATGCAATACATACGCTAATGTTACTTTATTTCTTATGCTGTGTTAAAGTATGATATTTACTGTGGCTATTTCTTAACAGTTGATTATGAAATTACCTCTTTGCAAAAAATAGCATCATGTACGATTATTAGGCCAGAATGAATACTCATAAATTAGAAAAAGGACATTCATAGAACTATGAAAACAACACTAAAAAATGATAGCTTGGCTGGGTATAATGACATTTTAAAATAAATATACTACAATTTTTACAATTTATGGATACTACGTAACATCAGTCCAATGATGTTAAGCAGCTTGTATAATAAAGACAGTCAGTACGATTATTACGCTAAGGTAGATAAAATTATATTCGCAAGTCACTAATTATAGTCACCAATTCTAGTCATCAATTCTAGTCATCAATTCTAGTCTTGAGTATTTCATAAGGCAGTTAATGTTGTTAATTATAAATTGTTTAGATTACAATTTCAATAGTGATAGCTGCTTGGTACGGTGTATAAGTTATAGTGACCATTAGTAGTTTGTAATCCATATACAAGGGTCTGCATGATGATAAATATACAGTTTCTGCCGAATATTTTGCGATTAATAATAAAATGATACCAATCAAACCCTCCTGTTATATCATAATAAAGATTACTATCTTACTGATAGATTACTGTACCTCGGGACTTGAATATCTATTATATTATAATTACCTTACTGACTATAATTATTTCTTACTAGTCGTATCTCAAATGATTCAGCCTTCAATGATGATATCGTGTATAGTCCATGTAGACCATACACATACATATTAATAAATACTAATAACTACCTATAATTCAGTTGTGAATCTATAAGTCTGTGTTTCACAACTTTGCTAAATGTATAAGTAACTAATTTTGCTCCTGCTGTATCCGCTCTACCGTAATATACCGTTGCTAATAAGCGTCACTGACTAGACTAGTTCAGTATATGACCTTATTCAGCAGTGAGTATATCCAGACAACTTCATAAATCATCTTTATTTGAACGATAGAATATACTACTAGAAAATGTAATATGAGAACTCATTCTATGATTAAAGGCTCCCTCTTATATACCTGTGCCGATTTCCGTCGGTGTAAATTAATACATAATTCTATTTACAACATACTCGATTTTGTATAAATATATTTATGATAATTAGTATAGAATAAATATATGCTAATTAATATTGAGTGCTTACTACTCTTGCTCCAATTAAGAAATCAACTAGACTTGTTAACTAACAACTCACAGTTACAAGTGTGACAATCTCTATTACACATTATACTCTTATTTAATGATTTAAATCGTCAGAGTCGCTAATGGAAATCCATAAAAGATTTAACATATTACAACTCTACTTTAGATAAAAATATGAATAAATATTTATTTATTAACAGTAATGGTGAACCGTAACACTGTGATAGTATAAGTCTTGCAAACATAACTAAACATATACTTGTAATTAGTGATAAATTTGCGATACTAACGAAAACCCATCATTTGCACTTAATGACACTAAGGGAATTTCACAGTCTACAGCTTTTGAAATTGAGAGCTTGTCATCACTTACGGCTATTCAAGATAATAGATTATCATCACCTATAGCTATTGGAGATAGTAGATTATCATCAAATACAGGCATTAAATATGGCAAATTATCATCATCTACAGCAATAAAAAATAATAAACTGTCACCTGATATAGCTGCTGAAGATAACAGATTATCATCATCTACACCTGTTGGATATGATAGATTATCATCAGGCACAACCATTAAAGATGGTAGATCATTATCATCTATAGCTTTGGAAGATTATAAATTATTACTATCTACAGTCTTTAAAACCACATGGCTATCAGCATCTACAGCTACTAAAGCTAATAGATTATCACCAGATACAGCTATTAATAGTAACAGATTATCCCCATCCACCACCATTGAAGCTGATAAGCTATCTTCATTTACACTTTCTGAAGACAATATATTACCACTATCCTTAGCCATTAAAGATACTGAGCTACCTTCATGAAATAGCGTAATATTGTCATTAGGTAAAATCATGCAAAATTTTTATCAGTTTTCGAATTTATATGCTTTTTTTCTATTATAAATAGCATCAATTAAGACATGTAAGTTACCGATTTAATTTCTGAAAGGAAGATTGTAGAAAAATAATCTATAATGATCATTTCTAATTTTAGCAATGCCCTACATCTTTAGTGGCTTCATGATATATATAACTACCTCTTTATACATGCAGTAAATTAGCTCATGCAAGAAACTTCTGAATGAAGGATAGTTAATAATATATTACTAACATTACAACTACTACTTATTTCGACATAAGATGGAGAAAGATTGATGGCCTTATAGCCCTTCTCCTGGAGGTTATAAGCAAATGCGATTATGCAGACTATTTATACGTTGCATATTAAGAATTTGAAGCATCAGTTTCAAAATTGCTATTCTTAACCACTGTTCACGGTCTTTACAACTATTATATATAATCAAAAAGCTTTATTATCGATACAAAATTTGATATTAAGAAGCTTTAAATCGCATACATTAGTTCCAATATTTGACTTTAATTAAAATCACATTAAATATAGCATAAAATATGACCTTTAATTTAGGCAGATAGTTAGATGACCGTGCGACCAGTGACCATAAGTAGAGGGGCTGCGAAAATTATATTAATAACTCGTGAAAAAATGACGGATTCAATAGTGGATAAAGAATATGATTTGCTATTTTTTTTAATTTGCTTCATTTCTTTATAGCACCACCTTTAGAATCTCAAGTAACCATATTGTCCAAATATTCCAAGACATCGCCTTCTGAATCATCTAGTGCAAACCTTTTCGCTACAGGTGAGAGAGTATGTGAAAATTGACGAAACTTTTTATTTTGGATTTATGTTGCTAGTACTAAATACAAAGATACGTTTTGTAAACGAATTTCCCTGAATATTATGATGTACGATGAACCTCTAGACCAAAATTTAGCAAATTTCATGCACTATTTATCCTATAAATTCAAGATAGATCTGCTCAATCGAATCTTTTGAGTCACTTTCTATAACTACTTTATTTGATTGTACTGAATATTAATAATATCTTCTCATATAACAATACCGGCCAATGTTATTTGGTAAAATGCAATCTATTGTAGAAGTATTTGTTTAGGACGAAACAACAACTCAAAAGATGTAAAAGTGGCAGCATAATCATGTTTAACACAAAAATTTTCTAGAATGAAATAGTTGTAGAAGTATACTTTTAAATATACCATTTACAGTTGTATATTAAAGATAAACACGCATAGACCTTTACACACAAAATTTTAGAAGCTTTATCATAAAGACTAACAATATCTAGTTAATTTTTTATCGCATATTTCCTTCAGAGTCCTTAGGATTTTCAATTTCTACTCATACAGAATTAGCTCAAGAATCGAATACTTTGCTCACAGGTACAAAATATCAAGTAGAGAACTAATAATTTAGATACATAATCTGCTTTCAGAATTCGATTTATCTAATTACACTTTTAATTGTCTCTGATACTTTTAAAAATCTACTGGTGTTACTACTATAAAATTTGGCACGTTATTGATAGGTAATGACTTATCAAATGATACTTGCCCTGAACGATCTTAACTGTTGTTTTAATTTGAAATAAATAAAATTTAATTAAGTTGAAACTATTCATATTTACAGATTCAACAACTTTATTGGACTTAAAAGGTAGTTTTACTGCCTTGTTGATCGATTTCAGCACTTCAAAAACAGGTATATTTACTTTTCTATTACCTATATCATTTACTAGGCTGCAATTCTTTAATAAACGGAAATTATGAAGTTATAAGTCGTAAAATATTTGTCTAAAAGTTTATAATCGCTCTTTCGCCGATTACTTTCTTAGAAGTAAATATTTGCTACCAACGAAATTAAGCATTTATCTTTCTAAATTAGAAAAGTTTTTTAATGTTATGATCAAATTTACGATTAAATATGAGAAATAAATTGATCTGGTTTATATAATTTTTTGTCAAGATATGCAAGATATTTATCAGTTCTTCACTACTGACAACAAATCGACCATCGCAAAATACACTGCAACCTCAGATGTACAAGAAAAAGTAAATACCAATTTGTATAGCTCTGGAAGTACATTCACATTTGATTACAACAAGAAAAGCCTCTCTTCCAGAATTGAACCAAATATCTATTTAACTACCGTTGACGATATTGAGTCAGCTTCCTCGTTCTCTCAGCTATATTCTAGCTGTTATCAGCCGTCCATAAGCCACTGGCCTACATTTTCGTCACAATCTATCTTGAATAGTAATCAGAATATCAATACAAATGCAGATAGACTCAATAGTGTTTCCTTCAAATCCTTAGCCGGTAAGCCATAGAACTTCGTAAAGTAATAAACTAGTGGAACCATTTAATGTAGTTACGATGTTAGCATTGTTATCGATTCATGTTACAGTGTTATGCACTGTAATATCGAGATTATAGTAGAAACATCTATGACAGGATAATTTTGTTGATTTACCCTTATATGAACGGTTTCTAATTTAGATAAGTGATATTTAAGTATAGCATTAGTTTTTATGGTGATATATACAGCCTACTGAAATTAATAGTTTAATTAGGAAATCGAGAATAATCTTTTTAAAATTCAAGTCACCGTGATTGAGATTTAATTATGGTAGATTGTATATTATCGTAGAAATGTTCCGTGATTGGACATATTGTAATTTGACAATTTTGTATTAGTCATTCGATGTCTATGTTCGTAAATACTGTTGTCTTCATTAGGTAGCAGTAGATAAAATTAGCTTTAGATTCACTATCAGATTTCAACATTAATATTACTAGCTAGAATGCCTTTGCTATTGTAAAAGAGTATATAAAAGCGATACATCGTATACTAAAGTTAGTTCTTATGATTATTGTTTAACGTAAGATACGAGGCGTCTAAGTCTTTTTGTAGTCTACTGCTATAGGAAAACTGTTCCTGAAAGAGTAGATGTTGCTCCCTGATACGTGGTTTAGGGAATCGACTGATTGATCATGCATTACGTTATCTTATTGCAAAGCTGTTTTGTAACTATTCATAAATAAGTAATCAATAATTTTTTTAATTAAATTGATTAAACTTGCCTAATATTCAACAGCGTCTACTGACATCGATGTAACTACGCATCAGATCCCCTTCCATCCTACACCTACAGACCAAGACATTACTTTTAATCCTTTCGAGGAGGTGCTATAATAGTTATCTCTAATACAAACACGATGAAATCTTTTACTATATTTGCATTTGTTATTATTTTAGTATTCTAAAGTTCCTATTGTAACAGCAAATGATACACTCAGGGCATTAGCAAAAATTAATGAAGAACTAGCGATCCATCCAATTCTAACAGTTCAAACAGCAAAGATTTACGGTCAAGGTTTAAATCAACTTATATCCAAGCTTATCACAAATGCATCAAATACTGAATTAATTATAGCATTATCACAGGTAAAATAAGTATTAGAATATGAGTGAAATTTAGTTTATTGCATCTTTAATAAAATTAGAATTAATTCTAAATTACGTACATTTTTTTAATTTCAATCTGAATGAATACTAAAATAAGTCTATGATCAAAACGGTGGAATCTGTCAGCCGCACAATTTCAGCTCAATCTGATAAGGTCTGCTAATAGCTTAGTTTTCGTAATAGTGAATTTTTACCGTGTAAATATTGTGTAATATTCTAAATTTTGCATTTTAATTTAATTTGTTAAGGTCAATAATTTAAATAACTATCTCAATGATGCAGTATATGTGAATTGTAAAACAACCTATTTTTCATATTATTCTTAAGTACCAGTCGTGAAAATTTCGTAGTAAAAGGAACTTCATTACAGATTTTTGTTAGATTTCTACAGTTTTCAGATTATGATTTCAACTGATACCATGATCATATTTGTACCGGTTGTAGTTAATTATAAATCTGATTATCCTATTGACAAGGATTGATAGTTTTCAAAGTTTAGGAATAATATAATTTTCCTGTAGATGCATCCTCAATAATTTAATTTTATTATATAAGAATTTCTTTACATCTCCGTGCATCATTTCATGTTCTAAACTGCCGTAGCATGAACTTTTTAATGCTATCAATTAGTTCTAAACGTATATAGATTAAGAAATTTAGATTACACCTTAATATAGTTACTCTCAAATGATTTCGTCTATTCCTCGATTTGGTAAGCAGAAAATAGAATTATCTATAAATTATACGAAGATATTGGACAGATTTTTCTTACGTGTGGCCGATAATTTGTTTCTGGGTCAATCATTAAACATAACAGACGGCGAAACAGGTAAAATTATTATGATTCCAAGTAATTTTAGAAATTATGAGTAATATCTAGTAGCAAATATAGTTAAACTTGATTACAATGTCCAAAAATTTTAAAGTGGTCAAGATTCAAAATTCGAAACTTTTGGATTACAGAATATTATTAATAACTAATTATGAAAACAGCCAAAATCAAGAGATTTTATTTATTTAATTAACCCGTTAGTAAATATCTATTTATTAATATGGTTATAATGATTAGGAGATACAATTATCAAAATCCAAAAGCAGCAACTTCCTGCCAATATTTATCATAATTTTACTGCAGTATTCAACCTTACATCTTCAAACCAAAATGGGATTACGATGCATTTATTCAATGTTTTCTATAATCAAAGTTTGTATTGAATTAAGATTCTTTCTCATGCTAATTATCAAAAATTTGATTTGAAACCTAGATTAAGAACAAATCAACTTATAGATGAATTTGCACTTGAGTATTAGACAATCAATACTTATACTATACTACTTTGTGTAGGTCAGACCATTAATATTTTAACCGGAATTTACCCCTTTTTGCGGAATGAAATTACACAAGGAGCTGCAAGGTAAGTCAATTTTGATATTTGCATATCTAGATTTTTTTGGCAATCGATACATGATTAAATTTTGTGGAGACTATCAAATTATAATTAAGACATAATAGCAGCAATGGTAACTAATTTCTTTTTACTTTAGCGATGATATTATTTCCGATATAATAACGTGTAAGATAGATCCGTATCCACCAGGGGAATCAGAATTAAACTTCCATTATAGTATTATCAAATCGGAGAATATTCCGCATCAGTATATCAATGTAAGGGGTTAAAATGTGATTTCAAGTTTGGTCAATTCAATTTTATTAGGAAATGCTCTTATTAGTACATCAGTTTTTAAATATCATATCTTTTTAACTATTTCTAAAATCTCTTAATTGTTGTAATGTAAAGATATCAAAATAAATATAATTGAAGTTAAGAGAGCGCATTTATAGTACTAAATTCAGTTCCATTAGTGACTTTCTGATTATTTTAAATCAAGCAAAGAACGTTAGCAATCAGTTTTAAGCCGACTAATGGCAAAGTTTATGTTTTGATGTGCTAGCTACTAGTATAGTAAATCAAAACATATTTCACAAGTGAGTTTTAACTCTTTTAGGGCACAAAATCGCAGGTACTTAAGTGCGTTTATTTAAATCTTACAACAAGGTATGTTAATTTAATTGCTGATTTAAGTATAAAAAATCATTAATATACAGCATAAAATAATTAAACTGACCTTCCAGCGATTTAAGAATCATTGTAACGTAATTTTACCTTACATGATTATATGCATATGCCAAACAGGAAATGGTCTCATTCTGGATGCACTTTAAATCCTGAGATTTCGAAATATGCCATGTGTAACTGCAATCATTTAACACATTTTGCCATCATGTTTCAATTCAGTAATGTTAGTAGATGTAAACGGATTCTATAAAGGAATTAATAGATTCCAATTTATAATTGCATTTTGACGGTCAGATATTTAATATGCGGTCCAATAACTGTATAGTATCTGTAGCAATGTATTAATTGGTCATTTTATATCTGATAGCTCAATGATGTTCAATCGCTACTGGCTCCAATTATAATTATTGAATATATTGGTATCGGATTTTCCATAATTTGCATTGCTATGACTCTTATAGTTTACGGAATTTTAAGGTACTACGCCAATTTTCAGTAATGAAATTGTAAAATATACGTACCCTATGCTTAAATAAAAAATAATACAATAGCGTGAAGATACTTCGTAACTATACTTACTTTTAGCCTGTATTGGTTACCTTTTAAATAAGTAATTTTCCGTAGAGATTCAATTTAATAAACGTAGTAATGAAATAAAATAAAATATTCCCAATAATAAATCATTCCTCTTATTTTCGGTTTATTAGGCTTAAATCTGATCGATTCATAATTCATCGAAACTTGCTAGTCGCTTTATTCTTATTGCAGTGTTCTATTATAGCTGGATCTCAATCAGTAGAAAATAAGGTAGACTGGTTTAAGACATATTTTCTATAGAATATTCTTCTAAATATTAAGTTGGTAACACGCTATGATCATAATTATTACTAGTAAGCATATACTAGTTATACTTCGCGTACTGTATATATATATTATACATTCTATACGTACTTGTACTTTTTACTTTACTATTTTTAAAAACAATTTTATTGCCTTTAAAAAATGCAGAAATTATCATTTTCTCGTTAATAAATAGAGCAAATCACTTATACTTAAAATTTCATTACTATCAACCATGTTTAAAGCTTTAATTTAATCTTATACTTATAGACTTTGCTGTAATTATTTTTATTTTTTAATTTATATTTGCATAGACCTAAGCAGTGTGTCCTAAACCTATTTTTTTGTTTGATTGCGCGTTATAGAATCTGTGTACCACAATGGCAATCTTGACACATTTCTTTTGCGTAGCAACGTTCTCCTGGATGTTAATCGAAGCTATCCATTTGTATTTTCTCATCATCACAGTCTTTACCAAAAAGAATCGAATTTCAATTTATTACTTCGTCGGTTGGGGTACGTTTTACAAGCGTAATCAATCTTAGACTCAAAGACGGTATAGTAAATGCACCGTATTTAGACAAGTTTTCATTGCAGGCTTGCCGATTATTACGGTTGCAGTAACATTAACGGCCAAATTTGAAGGTTACGTAAACGATACGGGGTCAGTAGTGGCGAAATGCTAATATCATAAGCCAATTATCAAAAATTTCATTGCTATATCTATTATAAGAATTCTATTAGCTAGCAAAAAATGATAAATTTACAATCAATAATGATCTATGAGCTTTAAGGTCGCAATAAGATATTTTAAATTCTAATTTCTCTATAATAAATTGGCCATATTTTATATTGGTTTTATAATAGGATTTCTAATTTAAATAAATGCTGGTTAAACTTACAAGATGGGTTTAAATGGGCAATCGTAGGACCTGTTATTTCAATTATTGTTGTGTGTATTTAATAGGCAGCGTACTATAATAGTATATTTCTGAAATTTATACAGCATATGTATCTATTTATAAATTCATAAGGTATCAAATTTGATTTAGAAAAGATATTTAAAAGAAGGATCTTTTAATTCAAATTTGTATTGTCTTATATTATATAGGTTAATACTGTCGTAATGATTTGTGTAGTCAAGGTTACTGTTTCATCTACTATAGCTGATGCTTATAAAAATGATAGCCGTAAAGGAAGATTGCAGGGTACTAAGTAAGTTGAAAAGGAGACATATTAAAAAATTTAAATGATTTATTCAATAGATAAAAATTAAACTTATTGAACGTTTCATCCATAGATCAATGGTCAAGGCTAGCGCAATACTAACGCCTATTCTAGGTCTAACATGGCTGCTGGCTTTAATTCCGATTACAAAGCAAACCATTGTATTTACCTATCTCTCCGTCATATTAAATTCTTGCCAGGTAATAATTTATGGATGTTACTTTTGAATAAAGTCGTATAATTGCCAATATATATGCAAGAAATACATACTAGTGTCACGGTACGAACTACCGTGAAGAAATAGCTATCTAAATTTGGTTAATATAGTATAGTGATATTATATTACAACTAGTTACTTACAATAGGAATTACTCTAATTATAAATGTGTTACAGTAAATTTATTGCTGTGCTGTAATATGTGCTGAAATGATTCTGTGAATGGACATATTGTAGTCCGACTGTGAAAAACTAGTTAGTAGATGTTCTCACCCAAGTGTTATTATAAGATGACTTGTGAATGTTAGCTGCTGTAGAAGGGTATATAAACCCGTCAGATAGTTGAATAAAGCAGTTCTCAATTGTATAGTTGTTTTAACGTAGAATCAAAGGCGTCTAAATTCTTGTAAGTAGGGATACTGAATCCCGGAGACTATAGTAATTTAGAGATTTGTTTTACGTTATACTTGTCACGAAGTTGGTTTGTGACAACTAGATCTTTCGGGTCTCTTCTCTATCATACTGGTATAATCTATAAAGTAGAATAAGTAGGGATTTTTCAATAGTGCTCACTGTTCGTACTAATTATTTTGCATGATCAAACCTTTGATTCATGGTCTTCGATGTATTTTCTATATCAGCGTATTACAAATATTTTACCTTATAAAAATTCTTTCTGATCATTTTCAATATCTGTATAATTCTTTATTTGCTGTTTGCAGGGTATTACTATCTTCGTGTTCCATTGCGTTTTAAGTAGTGAGGTAAGATTAAAAATTTTTAACAATAATAAGCTATTACAACTGGCTTTTGAAGTATGAAGACGCATGTTACAGTGTTATATACTGTATTACAGTAGAAATATCTATGTTAGGATAATTCTATTAGACTATCCTTATTTAGTTAACTTCTAATTTGGATATACTGTGTTTTAATATAGTACTGACTTTTTATGACAGTGACACTTATACACATACTGAAATTAATAGTTATAATAGGGAATGCAAATCATCTACTTACAGTTCGAATCATTGTGATTGTAATTTACTTATGCTAGATTGTAAATTATCATGGAAATGTTCCGTGATAGGACATATCGTAATCTGACTATTCTGTATTAGTCATTACATGTCTATGTTTGTAAATACTGTTGTCTGCATTAAGGGAGCAGTAGCTAAAATTAATATCTAATTCAGTAAATGATTCCGAGGTTAATTGTATTAACTATGACTCATGAACTATTGAGAAGTAGTATATAAATGCAGTATATCGTGAAATAAAGGGAATTCTCCAACTTAGTGTTTAACGTAAAATACGAGGCGTTTAAGTCTTTGTGTAGTCTGCTAGTAGAGCAAAAGTGTTTGTGATAATGTAGATATCGTTCCTTGATACGTGGTTCAAGGAATTGACTTATTGATCGTATATTACGTTATCTTGCTGCAAAGCTGCTTTGTGACAACGCAATATATCAGAACAAATTGTCGGATATTAGAAGAATGAATTTTGTTTTTTGACGACTGTACTACACAACCAGAGAGTATGATCAATTAAAAAGTAGGAAACTGAAATATATTGTCTAACAGGTTCGTCAGAAATATACGCTTTTAATATCAAGGCGAAGTGCCGTACAATCTTCGAATAAGGTAAATAGTATAAGGATAAGGTTGATTCATTATTGTACATCAATTAAAAGTAGCGATATAACGTATAAAGCGAAATAATTATATAATAAATTTTTTTAATGTTATTATTGTGATTACCAAGCTCTTTTTCTTAAATACGTAGGCTTCCTTATTTATTGAGGACAACGCAAACCTAAAAACTGATAATTCAGTAAAGAAAGGCAAGTCATTGTTCAAGCTATTGCATTTCTACTAGCAAATGATAATCGATGTTTAATCTCATTTATATCCTAGCAAGTATTATGATAAAATTTCTGCTTAATTAATTTAACCGAGATAGAAAATAACAAAATGTACGTCATTATTACGTAGATGATTTAAAAGTGGTACGGATAACATCGGTAAGCTTGTATTGCACTAGCTGAAAAATATTCTTAGTAAAAGGTTCCATCAATAATATTGCGAAAATCATATAGACATGTTAACTTTGTTTGATACTTATTAGCTTATTTGCTTATATCCCTCTCTCCGACTATGTATATAAAATATTTATGAACAGTCCAGATCTCTGACCAACCACAAAGAAAATTATATTAATCACCCTAACTAAAGAGCTTTCGTGAAACAAAGAGAGAAGCTAGATTTTGTTTATTGTCACGGTAGTGAATCTACCGTAATGAATGATATCTTACTTAATTTAGACATGTATACGTATCACGATAAGATAGTTATTGATTTGGATATGTGCATGAATTATTTTATGACTTAATATAGCCGATACAAACCTGTTCCTGATACAGGTTAAATTATACTAAATATAGTATATGAATTGTCAATGGTAAATTTAATATAAATCCTGTTAATTATAAGCTAGAGCAAACATAAAGTTAATCTATAGTAATATTAAAAATTCATTGGATTAGACTAGCAGTCATTTAATGCATTCACGAAATCTTATTGATCGAAATATATTACACATCGTAAACCGAATAAAGATATAGTTAGAAGATTCAGAAAGTGCATTTCTCAGTTATTGTTACTTGTCTAGGGTAATCTAATTAGTTTAGATTAGGCAAGTGTAGTTAAGTAACAGTTTACAATACTTTAAATGAATAAAACTAAGTAAGTTGGCTATTACCTTTAATATTATTATCTGCAAGGATTCAATATGTTTGGTATTTTATGGCACTGATTTATTTCATACGGTAACTGTTTTATAAACTGCAGTTTATAACATCCTATAGGATCAAGTACAATTAACCTTGCAGAAACTTTCAGCTAAATTATTGTATATGTATTATGGTGTATATGCGACTCCATGCTAATTACATTTTTAATGACAAATGATAAGCTGATGGAGATTGTTATAATTTAAAAAGTATGGACAGGAAATAGCTTAGTAAAAAATAGATGCAATTTTTTGCAACAATTGTAGCACACTCTATTTGATAGTCATAATAGATAAACGCTAATGCGAGACTTGAAAGCTGAAAGTGCTATCGTATAATAATTGAAATATATAGAAATCTATCGTATCTCATTTGCAAGAAATATTTTGATAATTAATGTATTTGATGTCAAACAATTTTCTTGTAGACATAATTGTCTAAGCTGTAATGGTGCAAAGCTAGAAGAATCATTGCTTCATTATGCAAAGGCTATTTAGACTATAACCGGATAATTTAACGCACACACTTTACCGCATTGTATTAATTTTACGCTGTATAGGATTGAATGCTGTAAATATTTAGTCCACCCTTGTTGTATTAAAACAGGTACATTACAGCATTAGTTTAAATTTACGGTGTATAGGATTGAACACTACAAAGTATTCAATTCATGTCCGTAATATCAAATCCGTATTGACATTGTTTTCGTCCTATACTACACATTGCACAGAGATAAATTGTCTTAGACCCTGTTGGATCAAGTCCTAGCGTATACGATTAGAAGTTACTTCGTAAAATGGTACTTTACCAAATAATATCGGGTTGTCATGCATTACGTTTCTTGATGTAACTTATAAAATGGTACATATACTCGTATGTAACAACGAGAGTATTGTAATCGATGTAAAAATTACTTTTCCTATAGGATATCGTAGATATCGACAAGAAATAGTTATTTTAAGCTTCATGATAACGTATTAATGTAGTAGACATGCATAATCATTATTCCGTTACTAGTCTACATAAAATATCCAACTTAATGAAAATAATAATTGCAAATAATTAATTTTGACCTGACTAAATTCATCATGTGCAATTAAATAATCATTTATACATCTATCTTTAAGGAGGCATGCTTGCACCTTATTTGAATATCATGGAGCTTATTATGCAATTTAAAATACGGTGATATGTACTAAATGTTTACCAGGGTGGAAAAACTTCCTAAATTTCCGATTAGTTATGGATTATATACCAGCATTCTTGTAAGCATAGACATGTTTATGTATCTATATGCACAACTTTATTGACTTGCCAAGCATGATAATATTTTTCAATTCATAGCTAGTTGTATCTTGAATACGAGTATACAATTACATTTCTTATACTCGCCTAACCCATCTTTTCGCTGAAAAAATTCGGTAAGCTTTACATGATCTTCGATACAATCATCGGTTGCAATCTAGTATCCAGTATTTGATCTTCTTCGATAAAGAATATTCCAATTGTATAAAGCCTTGAAAATATGAGGTGAAACTTGAGATACTTTCTATCTTGATTATTACTTAAGTGCTAATAACTTAGTGCATAGACATAATTTATCTCATTTGTCGATGTCAGCGGCGAAAAGCTTTATCTTAAATCACTATTTACTTTGATTTAAAATGAATTATAGTGAAGCTTTATCTGGACAAATATGTTTGAAGCCGGTAATACTTTAGCCAATCAATCAAAAACCAATCAAAAAGTTTAATAGAATTTTGGGAAATACTTTAGACAATCATGTTTAAAATTTTAAAAATGTTGGTCTGATCCATTTTGCAAATGTAGAGAATAATAACACACTAGTAATCGAATACTATTGAACTTCCCTAATCATCTTTTAGCTATAGTTACCTACGATGCTACGATACACTTATAAGACTGTACGCTGAATACGATGTATTACTATATATAGCATTAATATATTTAAATTGCTAATGTGTGTTTACTTAAATTCGATATCACCTGAATTTGGTAAATTACAAACATGATATTATCACATGTTGCATAATAATAATCGTGATTGATTATGTATATTATTCTACACAAATAATATTCTACACTTGATAATTCAGTATGTTAATGTGGATTGTGTTACGTACACTAAGGAATCCACTGTTACACAAACTTGCAATAACATTGCGTTATAAGTTTAAACGGCGCACGTATATAAATCACAGTTTTCAATGCGATAAAGAGAGAATAGGAGTTAGAAGTAATTTTTACAAAAGCTTCAACTATATGTTCATTTTCTTGACTTATGCTAATTGAGAATAGTACGAACCTTGAATACAGTTGTGTAAAGCAACTCAGTGTTGTTATTATAGACTTATAGCCATGTTTAGTATAACGTACAGTAGTCTTTTCTATATTTTTATCTTATGATATATTTAGTAGCCCACAATTATAAACTGTAGGGATAGACTCTATGCTAAAGTACAGATTACCACATACAGTAAAATTTTGAGCTACTAATAAGGTTACAGTTAGAAATGGAATTTTAAATCATATATTAGGATTTCTTAGTTCATTGTACTTTGAGCGGTAGGAATAATGTCTACAAAAATAATGTAATCATTTCATATTGGATTAACGATGGCTTACTATAAAATATTGTGGCTAATGAAAAGGTGAATATGTGTAAAAATATGGTAGAATATTGCTATGTTGATTGTAGCTGCTAAGGATACAGAGAGTATAAAAGCAGGAGACATTAGGTTATCTGATTTTTCTTTCTAGAAGTCTTTCAATAATTGTATTCGGCTATAGTAGAGCTGTGAGTAGCTAGTAAAGTTTTAATTTTCTATAACTTTGGAATTTTCGTGATAGAATTTTATCCCTGGTTGTTAGTGTTAACTCTAGATAGTAAGATAGTAATACACAACAATATGATCAATTTTTAATTATCTTCTGAATTTGCAATCAACGGATAAATCCATAATATCATCATTACTTGGGCCAGAGGATATTCTCAGTACGGTTTAAATCTTTAAATTGCATGTCCTATGCGTTATTGTAATGTATAATATAACTCGCCGCGAAGAACGAGTAACGTGTGAGTAGTGTGCTGAGCCTCCTTCGTTTATTTGGCTATTTATTAGTCATTGCCAATTAAAGTTGTTTCCTAGTTGTATCTACAGTAAACTGTACAGTTTATTGAGGGTTGTTTCCCTACCCGAACGTGTAATACTGAATTACTTCCAACCCTACAGTATCTAGTCACTCAAGGAGATTTACCCTCTCTGTAGTGGTCAAAAATAGTTTATGATTTAAAATATTATTGTTAAATTTTACAGTAGTAGCATGTTTACCCAATCCCTATTTCAGTCAATTCAAGCAATATCTTATTTTAGCTTCGTATACTACTTCTTATTCTAAATTATATTTAATATGGGCCTTGCGAGTGCAAGACCCCAAGATAGGTATTATTGTCATCCCTCACTTTGGGCCAATCATACGTCATTTACTCAGACGTACCGGTGTCACTTATCAAGGCGGCATACAGTCCCAATTGACCGCACTATACCACTAACCTCCTTAGCGCTATCCACTAGGCCTATAACACCTGATAGAGTGCCTCTAGCACCGCTAATCTACTATCTTATTTATTCGGAGCTCAACATAGTCTAGTTTTCCAACAGAACCATGTAAACGTTATGTTGCTTAATTACTATGTGTGCACCACAAGTTTGGTGGTAGGGTATAAAAGGAGGAACGAATACTCAGCTTCTTAGTTCGTGATTAGATAGTGTTTCGGCTATTCTATTAATAAAACTATACTAAACTCTTAGAACACTCTTATGCCTGTATGAGCATAAGTAGTATAGAACTATTACTGTTACCACACAGTAGACCTCCAGGTGTAGTGGAGATAGAAATAAGTAATCTATTAGTTTAGGCTAGTAGTTCGTAAGTTACGTTTGTGATGTGCATCTGCTCTGAATGCTTACAGCAATTACTTCTTAAATGGCTAAAATACTTTTTCTTCTATCTATTTCTTTACGGTAATAATAGAATAAATCTATAATAATACCTATTTTGATCTAGTCTAATTTATATCTCAAATTTTAGTGTGCTGGCACTTCATGGTGGTATAATATTACACATAAATAAATTTTACCATAACTGGGTAATTACTACTAATGAATACCACCTGATGTATTACTATCACATTAGCCCTATAACATGATAAGAATGCTCGGATTCAATATCTTTTAAAGCTACAGTTAACTAACAGGAAATTTATGAAGTTATAAGAAAATCTTTTAGCTGCCTTTTATAAATCCTTAACATAGTTCGTACAGATTGTGTACTATCGCTATGTAAGCAATTTACGGAAGTCCTGAGTAGTCACGATGAATAAAGAGTTCATTTAGATAAAATAGTACAATGGGAGTGTTAATCTATTGTCATTTCAATCAAGTTGTTTATCATACTAGTTTATTATGTCAAATTCAAACAAACATGGAAGAAATCCACTTGAATATGTATCTGCCAGGACATAAATTGAAATGTAGTGATACTATAATAATATCGCATGTGTCTCGAGAAAAGTGAATAAAGCGATGTTATTGTTCTGAGGAGTTGATCTATATCTTACTGTAAAATAGAACCTTGAAATTTGATACGTGAGATATTCTTTATGATAGATAAGATCACTGTCAGTAACGACTATAATTTTTTGGACTGAATCAATTAACTTTTAACTTGATGAGGTAAACAATTAACGTCAATAACATTATATTGAGACGTAACTTGTTCGATTTAATCATTTCTCTAAAATACATTGAAATTAGAATAAAATTTTAACCAGATATTTTTAGCAACAATCAAGTATCATCTTACGTAACAATAACACGATCATAAAAGTCAATAAAGCTCAGCGTGATTTGAATAATCAGATACACCTGCTTGTCGCATATGCACCTGCTTGTCATCAACTTGATATTATAGTCAATTGAATAGAATTTCATTCATGGCTATGACGTTAATAAATCATATCATTAGCAACTAGATTCTTGTTCAGTAACAACTATTCATTCGGATATGGATGGAGATATACTAAAACCTCAGTTAAAATACAACGTCTCCTGTATAAACATGAGCTACATAGAATCGCCAACATAGACATTGATTATGTTAGAATAATTGATTTCATACCTTCACTTATATGGGTAAAGATAGTCTATCAATGCATACATAATATTTTTTAATGAGTCATTTAATAATCTAATCATTTACAGCAACGAGTCTAGAAATTCTACAATACTTTAGAAACTTTGATAATAATTGAGGAAGAAATTACTTTAGGGTTTATCGATACCAATACGCTGAAAATGTGCGTATAATCGTTAACATAGAAGCTCAATCGATTGGTTTACCGTGAGAAAAATATTCAGTAGCTACGGAAAGAAATACTAGCAAATTTAATAGAGCTGATTTAAGACGATTACGCCGGAGGGATCAGTAAAAAGAACTTTACGTACAGTTTGGTGAGTTATTGAATATTTGATAGCTAAAAATCTGAAAAGTAGCGTACTTATTTTCGTTTTCAGTTGATTTTTCATTTTCATCTTGAATACATAACAACAAAACAATACAAAATAGTAACATTAGGTAAAATAGATTTTATCAATTATAATCATAGAATATCACAATTGACTATTTTGACGAAGAATATTCAAAGACACATACGTTACTCTACCATATCTCCATCGCCAAATTATTTTGTCCGTATAGCTTTCTATTTCGATTACTTTATAACATGTTCCATACTTAAAATGATATAGTAAAATGATATAGAAATCGTGAATGATTTATTAGTTACAATCCTTCGTCACCCTTTAAAATAAGAAAGAAAAAACTTAACTTATTACCCTAAATATCGGCCGTTTACTGGGTATTGGTATTCAAATATTTAATGAGCCATAAGGATCATAGATCGATAAGATATCGTTTAACTTGCATAGGTAATAAAGGTTGACACAGGTTGTTATATAGCAGTAATCATAAATAAAAGTAGTTTAAAATATCATCGAGTTATCGCTGATTCTACTATAGTTAATATAATTTCATGACAAAAACATACTATAGCACATTAGTTGGGATTACTGTTGCATTAAGTAAGCTCCATTGTGAGTAAAATGTAAGGGATAGAGATAAATCCTCGTTCTCATTTTTAAAAAATTTTTGGCATAATGAATTTACGTATATTCCTTAATCGAATATGATTTATTTTCCTTAAACTGCCAAGAAAGCTATTCGTTATAATGCTACTTTTACTTATTCTTCCTCGTTGCCAAATTTGATAATTTAAATTTGTGAAGGAAACCCAGAAATTAACTATTCTATCTAGATATCGTCGCTAACAAAGTTACAGCTACTAAAATAGAGCGTATATATATACAAATTGTTACTTGAAGTAAAAACGTTGTTAGTGATTAATTCTTTAGCATAAAGAGCTATAAATATAATGAGTCTAAAAATATCAACTAATTCAGGCAACGCCCAATGTTTTAGTTACTTTAGAATTGAATTGAAATAAATAAGTGTTGCTCGATTACTGTGAAATTTTATTTAATGCCTTTCATATCAATACTATACAGAAAATTAAACCGCTAGTTGAAACACTAAAATTAATTGTAATATTACTATTTCTATTAAATTCTTATTCTCGCAAATTAAATACTACATCGTCATTATCAGATTCATAACGGATTTCTACATTTAAGGCATAATGATTATCTACGATAATAACCCAGGATGATCTAAAACACTCTTATCACAATATGTTTATTCCGATTAATATAGTTAAATAAATACTGTAAAAAATGTTGCAAATCATTTAAAATAGAAATTTGATCGCATTGTTTTTCAAAACTTAAAATAATATGAAGTCTTAGATTTACTCTTAATATATCAAATAGGGTAGGTTCATCGTAAAGTAAACTAGACATCCCCCAAATATCAAAAAACCGTTATTGGTATCTTTATTGACATTAGGTCTATTTATTAAACGTAAGAATTATAAATTGCAGATATTAACCAACAAATTTTAGCAGCTTAAGGTTTAAATAATTTAAATATCCGTATAGGCGGTATTGACACAATCTATTCCATTGATTCCTGAGCCAAGCCTGAAATAAAAATGGAAACTATTACGACTTTAAAAATTATGATATCATACAACTGCAGCATAAACAATATGGATTATAATAACTGTTCGTAAAGTAAACTAAGAATATCTAGAATATTTAGCATAAGTATATAGATTTCAAATGATGACTAAGCTAGTGCAGCTTGACTTTAAGTATGATTTATCAATCCAAGCATATATTGTTCACCAAAGCCTTTCGAATTTGGTTAATTTAACAATGTCAACTTTCAAAGTACTAGTATTTAGTGAACTTAGGTTGTAGATAAAGTCTATTTCTATATACAACCGGCATTATTAACGACTAAATATGACTGCTAACAATGATATCATCTGCTCAATATTATGTCAGTGACATAGGGTTGACATCATTTTTATTAGAAATTTAGTTTTGATACATTGCTACTAATATAGTTATCATATAGATATTTTGTTTAGGGTCAATCTACTACACTTTTTGATCTGACATTATAGAAAATTTGAGGATAAACTCAATTATAATTTAAAATATAGCTTAATTATAGACTTCCTACATCGAATTTTCCTTTGAAATTAGATGTAATTGTAGACCGCTATAGTCTATGTAGCGGATATAAGGGGTGATTGAAATCTAGATATATTTTTGGTCAACATTTATATTTGGCAATCAGGTATCTTATTGTCAAAGGTACAAATTTCACTGAGACTTTCATATTTATTATAATAACTAGATGTGATTGCAATAAATATGATTCATATAAAATTCTGAAGCTAGGTGACGAGCTTATAGCCTTATACTTTTTCAAGTACATTTCATAAAATTTGATAGTAAGTGTATAGGGTAAGGCCAAAAGTATAGTTTGATACATTAAATCCCTTTATCCTGATAGTCTTCCGCTTTGGCGACAAAAAAAAATTCTTATTCTGAAATAATGCAGGGCAACATACGCGTAATAACAACTTTATATAGTATTAAATTTTTGTCACTAGCTTTACAAATATCCTAAATTTGTCATGTTAACCTATCCTTCATTTTTTGCTTAGGAAGCATGCAGATTCACTTGAAATACTTTCTTCCGTTTGTAATTTGGATTTTTGGAATACAGGTGATTTAATCAATTAGCTAGATATCATTTTACTAATAATCTATAATTGCTTTCAAGGGATATTTTGATAGATATTCAGATGGAATCGTATTCAACAATATAAACTAGGTTTAAGGGATTTCTGAATCCTCGTAGTATATGATACTATTCTGACTATTCTTATTTAATTTCTTACAGAAGCACATTCAGCCAACTTCAGGTAAAGTAAATTTTTAAACCGGTGTATGCTTTTTTTAACTTTATCGCTAGATGAATTACTATTAAAATGAAATAATTTAGTTCAGCAATCTCTTCTACCCTAATTAAGGAATGAGCTGCAAGATACGTCATAAAAATATTTAGTCGATTATTTACGTAAGCATACAGTGAAACTTGCAAACTAGTCATTTCAACAATAAAATAATTTTTGAATATAACTATAGTGGACTATGATCTAGCCTTATTTTAGAATTATGAGTTCAACTCAATAGACAATCTAAACAAGAAAAAGTCATTTTTTGAAATTAAAAAATTATAAAACGACTTACGAAGACAATATTTTCAATTTCAATTTAAAAACTTACTACATTATCAAGTACAAAACATTTTTGCTTTTGTCTCCCTTTTGTAAAGATATAAATAATGGTGAGTGGAGATTTTGTTATCTTCCATAAATATTTGCGATCGTTTTATCGCAAACAGCTTTATATATTAACTATATTAAAAACTTAATGGATAATCTCCTTTGAGAGGTTCCTTTTTTCAAACAGATTTCTTTCCCATTTATTATTTTATTAGTTTAAAAATCTTCGACAACAATTTAAGTCGTAGAGATCTTATCATAAATTTTCTCATTTAGGATAACACACAATAAGACGATAATATCTATATTTTATTGAAAAAAGTTTTATAAAACTTCCAATAATGATTAGATTCATCCTTAATATTAAATTATACTATTATTTAAAGCAGTAAACCTAGCTAATGAATGGTACCTCGATTAAAATGAAACTTCTGTCACATTGCAAGGTTCTAATTATTTTAAGTTTAGTTCTTTTTATTTTATTAAAGCTAAGCTTACTAAAATAAAAATTATATATGTGATATAAGAAATTTTAGCAAAATTCACTGAAGCCAGATTTATTTGATTAAAACATTAATTGACATCTCATTTACATACAATAATTGTAAATGATTAATAATATACTATAGTGACGATAATTTTTCAATGGTTTTATTATTAATGTTTTGTTGTCATTAAATATTATAATACGCTTAGCGTATCTTCTTCACTAGCATGTAGCATTTGCGACAAACGTCAATTTTTCTAACATCGTGCATTCGCGAATACTACATGAATCTAATTTAAAAATAATTTCCAAATTTCCTGCAACTTAATTTCTTGTTCAATAGTAATGTTGTCATGTTTTTCTATTGATTTACGTCAAATTGTGATCATGACTCAAAATTATGGCAAACATGTTTTACTAATTCAGAGTTTAGAGCTCTTGAAGAATTTATAATAACAGATTTTCTTACTAATTCTCTAATGATCGAGATACTATTTAAAATAGTACAAACAGCTCTAACAGACAAGGAAAACTTCTTGCAACGGTTGACTTTAGAAAAAGACAGAGAACAATAACAACAGGAAAGCATAGCTACAAAAATACATTACTTAATTTATTAACAAAATAAAAATTGTGAACAAAATCTTTTAATACTGAAAGAACTTAGTATGAGAACTAGGCTTAAATCAATATACTTGAATCATCACTAGCATTCCTCATCTGTCTTAATTATTGCGAATAGCCTAAATTTGATATCATTTTTAATTTATATTCAGTCTATTTCTATATAAAATGATAACAACCATATCTTATTTACGACTTCAATACAGTCAATAACACCTTTTCGAGATTCATAGTTGCAAATAATGATTCCAAATTTTTTAGCTAGCTTTCACTTTATTATAGTTTGATAATATTTAAGTAGTTGACTACAATTTACGAAATCTAAAGATTACTAATTAAACTTACAAAGCTTGTGTTCCAACGTACACTAATATAACGAAAACGGTTAATATCATTTCCTTAATAGCCCATAGTTATTTCTTGATAAACAGTATACTCATGTACTGTAGTTCTCTACTAAATATTTTAGAAATACTTAGACAACATAGGCGGCTTATAGTATAGATATTAGACTGGATCATCATTTTCTTTAATTCGTTGAATAATCGTATTTGGAATTAATAGAATAAATAAGCAGATACGATAAACCTTATTAGCCTACTTTTAAGACTACGATCATTTTGATATAACAATAGATGACCTTTTACTAGCTTTACTTTTCATTGTAAAATCTCTATCGGCCAAATCATCTCCAGACATCTTCCACAGTGCAATTAACTTCGCGAGATTTATTGTTCCAATTAGAACAAAATCAGATCCTTAGATTTAGCCAGGATCAAAGAAAACTGGATCACTTTATAGTCCAGTTTCCATCTTCATTTTGTGCTGTTAGCTGGCTCTTATATTAACTAAAGTACTAGAGCTAATAAAATTAAAGGTCTCAATTTGAATGTATCTTTGACTTCATATATTACATTTAAGCAAACTAAATTCGATGGATTGTATAATTATTAATTCGGTTATAAAAATATTAGTACAGTTTATCATGGCTGATTACTTGTTTTGCTGCATATTTATTAAATCTGACACGGTAAGGGTTACAATAAGGGTTAAATTATTATAAATCTTTAAGATAATAAGCGAAAATTACAAAGGTCTTGCATATAATCTTGAGAAGATTTCATCGTCAAATAAGCTAATTTGAATTTAATGCAGGATCTGAGCCTTGTCCAGATGGTTGGCACTTTTATGGTCAAGACAATATCTGCTTACATTTAGTTGACAAGGCCGCTAAATTTGACGTAGCCAGGTCAATCTGCCAGGACGATTTTAAAGCTTGGCTTCTGTATATTAATGGTGCTGACAAGGAAAACTTTATAAATACTAAGATTATCAGTGATAAGTATAAATTTTATTGGCTTGGATTGAAAGACGTTATTGGTGATGATAAGCCAGAGTCTCATAGATGGCTAGCTCAGAATAAAACCTTGACGGAAAACAGTTATACGAATTGGGCTAATGATAAACAGCCCAATATCCGTTCACATGAATGCGCCATCATCTGTTTCCAGCAAAAGCCTAAATGGTTGGAAGAAAAATGTTACTTAAATAATAAATATATCTGTGAAAAAGGTATAGTTGTATTGTTAATTGATCTTCATTTTTAAAACCAAACAATAAGCATATAATGCCTTTCTAAATCGGTTTAATATATTGATCGACAAGTTTTTGCCATATTATACCTGAATTTAGTCATTTAGTGATCACTTCTCCATTACAGTTATTAAGTATGCTTTGAATAAGTGTTTTCTTTAGGCTTATTCTTTGCCATACATTAGGAAAATTTTACTTAAAGATTCACTATTCTATTTAATTTTAATGCAGCTGCCGATAGTAAGAAATTTATTAAATCTAGTAAAATCTCTTAATATTCTTTATTCTTATAAAAAATACTAACTAAAAATTGAGCAATGTTTCTCTTTACTTAGCTGCAAACCCTTCAGCAACGTCATCCGTAACAAAAACTTCCTTCGGTAAGTTTGTTGAAGAAATTTTTTGTAGCTTGAAATTTGTCGTAGTTGATTTCTATTAAAAATTTACTAAATATTACGGGAGCGAATAAATTACGGTATTTCATTTAGTAATTGTATCATTCTCAGAACGACAAAATTATAAGAATGTTAAAGATTTAATTCATTTACATGTAAATGCTAATTTAATGAGTATTAAATTAGCTCGTATAATGATCGAAATTATTTTTATCATTTGGCTCTGAGTTTATGCCATTCTTGACAGTGATATTAGGTATGCATCGCAGATTCTACTAAATCAACTAAATTAAGCTGGGCTAATTTTATCACAGCTATCATAATACAAACATAAGAACAACTATAGCTATTTCTAATTTTTTAACGTTATAAAGCGTCCTTACGGCTATCTTACAAATAAATGTAGCCGCAGAGTGGATCATTTCTGCCAAAATTTCAAAAAGCTCATAAAAAGTAGCTGACAACCCTAGTATCATATGTTGCAAGGAAAATGTTTGTCTATGAAATACCTAAGCTAACGTTACTTGTTTCTTTTGCTGTTTCAAAAAGTATGATATTTACTACAACTATTTCTCACCAGTTGATTCTGAAATCACGCCATCACCAACAACAATATTAGGTATAATTTCTAGCCACACATGATTATTCCTAAATTAGAATAAGAATACACTCGCAACTATGAAATGAAAACTTAAAAAGGATAGATAGTCCAGATACAATAACGTCTAAAAATAAATATGCTGCTAATCTTCATAATTTATGAACGCTATTTTGTATCAATCCAAAGATTTCTAGCAGTTTAAACAACAAAAGCAGTCAATGCGACTATTGCACTAAAATAGATTAAATTGTAGTAATAAGTCACTAATGATGGTTGACAACGCTAATATTGAGTATTAAATATAGCAGCAACCGCTGTCAGCTACGAATGTTTAGCTGATGATCAGAATAATGATACCTGCTGCAGTGTAAATTATAGTGACTAATAATAGTCAGAAATCCATACAAGCATCTATATGCCTATTTACGATTTCTGCGAAATATTTACGAGCAACACTACCTGATTTGCAACAAGGTTTCAGACTGCATTTTCTAGCCTATACTACTGTAATTTATGAATAGCAATTAGTTGGTATTTCTAAGTAGATTTAAATATGATTAAACACAGCGACACCTCCAAATTTTCTGGAAAATCGCAATCTAATTTATTGTCGCCGCTTTTATAGGCTTCGGTATCTAAAACCGATTTAACTGCACGAATCACATTTTCTATTTGAAATTAGCCAAATTAATACTCTAAAGAACCTCTATCTTACTAAGATATTTCATCTAAACTTAAAAATCGTGCTTTCAACCTTAACATCCTTTGAAGCAATATACATAATTTAGTTAAACTAGTAGGTAGTTACTATTTTATTCTATCTAATCCTAAATTAAGAATTGCTAACACATCAACTGTTAACCACTAAAATTAAAATTAAAAAGAACATAAACATTACCGAAACATACGTACATCATTTTGAACGTAATATTGAAATAATATACTTTTCACTAAGATAGCTTCTTACCAGTTGTATAGAAGGATACGATAGTATAAATCATGCTTAAATAATTAAACTTATACTTAATAATATAAAGTAGCGTTCAAAGCTGCAAAATAATGATTTAAGACTTATGGCAATAGTCAGTATCAGATAAACATTTCGGTACGTAATAAAATAGCAGCAAGTGATCTTTTATTGTACAACGAGAAATAGAAAATTTGTACTTTAGTGCTACAAATCGAAATCTGTAACAAGAACAAGTTAAACCGTTATAGAAATTACACACTACAATTCTTCGAGTCTGCAGTCAGGTTTATCCTCCTTGACATCTACCTACAGTACGACTCTGTATACTGACCATCCCCTATCGTCAGGATTAACAGTTACCCAGCACTAGTCTCTATCATAACTGAACTCAAACTTTACTGAAAAGTTAGCCAATTTATAGTCAATTTGCCTAAACATTAATTATCAGTTTATGCATAATTTTATAAAACTATCCAGTTATCTATTAAAACAGGTATAACGTCATATATAAATTCATGCTAGCACATTTCTAGGTAAATTAGCTTATTGGAATCTATGTTGCGACAACTACGCAACAGCTACTCCGCAATAATCAGTCTACTTATAATATTTTTGTAGCTTACATAGCTACAACTTCATAATGTATTGATACATTTTCTTACCAGCAGGTTACCAGACAACACCACTTCCAACAGTAATATCAGATATAGCTCGTAAACTCTGACGATTACTTGTATTTAGTAATAAATTTTCATCTGCATAATAGTAAAGGCTATCCTAAAACCAAATTACAACTATTCCGATATATATACTTGAAATAAAAAGCTTGTAAATCAGTAACATATAATGTTTTTGTAGCTATTTACATTTCAGTCAGATTTGTATAACATTTTGATAATATTTTCCTCCTGCAAGTAGGTTACCTAAGTACACCACTTCCAACAATAATATCAGGTATAGCTTATAAATTTTGATGATTATTTGTGCTAAGTAATAAATCCCATCTGCATAAAGCCAAAGTGTAACCTAATGAAAATTACAACCATTTTGATACTTGTATACAGGTACAAATTTGGATAGCAATTAATAAATTACAATAGATACTGCATGTAAAACCTTCTACTGCACTTCGTATTAAAGTATCGTGCAAAATAGATATGAGACTGTAATAGACTCTTTGCACCTACGTTACTTCAGCGTTTCATCATCAGCCACAGCCCACTAACATACTATAAAGTACTAGTGCCCCATGGTTGTCTACCAAAATGGTAAACAACCGGGTTAATTAATTACTATTGCCTAATTTATAATTTACGGAGCTACACTTCGTAACATGTGTATTATACAAAGTTTCTATCCAAACAGGAATACAGTACTGTAGAATGCTAACTTGCTTAAAAATCTATATCGTTTTACATTAATTCTTGAGTTTTATTTGTTCTTTAATTTGACATTTAGCTATAACAAGTGGTTTATCTACGACATTAGTACAAAATGGTAAGTAGAAACTAAGGGTATCAAATAAGATTACAAATCCAGTTGGAGAAAATTAAACTTAAAGTCCTGATTAACGTAGGAAATATCATGTGTTCTTGTTATTATCTAATTTGTTCTTCTCTTTCAGATTTCTCTACTACCACAACCTTATTAGGTTTGCTGATCTTAATTAGATCTTAGAGATGTAATTCGACATATTTAGATCCTTAATTAATTTTTTACTAAAGAAATTTCTTATACCAGTACTTGTAAGTTGAGATTAGACTGTTAGGAAATGATAAAGTAAGAGTTATCTCCTGAGTTACATTTTTGCAATTGATAATAACTGTTTAGATACAACAAGTATCTCCCTATCAACCGAACATGAAAATATTGACAGTACTTTTGGTACAGTAATAGTAATTTTCATTATTTCACTTATCTAGTAGAGTATGGTACAATTAAATTTGCTTTCATCATTTCACATACTTTTCTTTATCATTCTATTAGCAGAATTTTCATCTATAAAAACTGCAAGTTCGCAAAATACTATTATATTGCTGTCTGATACCTATATTCATGCAACAAGAGCAAGTACAGCCAGATTTGGTAAATAAGTGTAATCTAAATTTAATATTGCAAGCTAATAAGCTTAAAAATAATAGCTGAAAATGGTAAAATAAAAAGAAATCGGGTTATATTCAATAGGTCTCGAGTCGACAATTGGTTATTCTGAACCGATAATATCATCTACAACTTCTACTATTAGTGTAATATCTATGCCTTCACTTATCGACACTAACGAAATATCACCCTTTACAGTTGCCGATAGCGGGGGATTATCCTTGTCTACAGCTTTTGAAGATGCCAGAGTATCATCACCTACAACTATTGAAGAAAATAGATTATCTTTATCTACAGTTATTGAAAATAATCGATTATTGCCATCTACAGTAGCTGAAAATGATAGGTTATCATTAGATGCAGCCATAATAGGTAACAGATTGTCAGCATCTACATCAGTTATAAATGATAGATTATCGTCGAATACAGGCATGGAAGATGACAGATTATCGTTATCTACAGAAGTTAAAAATAGCAGATTATCATCAGATACAGCCACTGAAGATGACAGGTTATTCTCATCTACAGTTGTTAAAAATGATAAATTATCATCAAATATAACCACTGAAGATGACAGACTAACATCATCTACAGCTACGGAAGATGACAAATTATCATCATCTGCAGTCATCGAAAATACATCGCTAGCAGCATCCATAGCTATTAAAACTGATACTTTTAGTGCATGGTCAACCGATTTCAGCGTTTCAATATCAGGTATATATATATATTATTTTTTATTACCGATGCCATTTATAAGATAGCAATCCTTTCATTAATGGAAATTTAAATGTTGATATTTATAGAATTTGTGCATGAAAGCTTTCTATCGACCTTTAACCGATTATTTTCTTAGCATAGATATTTATTACTAACGAAATTAAACAGTTATCTTTCCAAATTAGAGAATTTCTTCAATATTGCGATCAAATCCATCATTAAATCTAAGGAATAACTTATTTCGTTTTCTGTAACTTTTTCTTTTAACAAGATACGCAAGATACTTACCAAGCTTACTCTACTAAAAGCGAATCGCTCATCACTGGATATACTACAACCTCCGATGCAAACGAAACATCTTCTACCAATTTACGTAGTTCTGGTAATATGTTCATATTTGATTACGGAACAAAGACTTTTTCTTTAAGAACGGAACCGAATATCTATTTAACTAATGATGACAACATTGAATCAGTTTTTACGTTCTCTATTCCAGATTTTAACTGTTATCCACTGCCTACATGTTATTCATCTAAATTCTCATCGCAATCTACCGTAAATAATAATCAACATATCATTACAAATATAGATAAACTAAGCAGTGTGTCCTTCAAATCTTTAACAGGTAAGTCGTAGAAATTCTAAAAGTAATGAACTAGTAGCACATTCAGAATAATGTCAATGCTAATATAAATTTACAATCCATAATTTGCTCATTCTATTCACTAAACCTACCAAATATTTGATAGCATCCTCAGCTACTGATGTACCTACGAATCAGACTTTCCTCCATCCTACACTTGCACATCAAGACACTACCCTTAATCCTTTCGATAAGGTGCTATAATACTTTCCTCAAATACAGTTACAGTGAAGCTTTCCATTGTAGTTTCATTTGTTGTTATTTTTCAGTACTCCGAAGTTCCTTTTGTAACAGCGGATGATACACTCCGGATATTAGCAAATATTAATGAAGAATTGGCAATACATCCATACATAACTGTTCAAACAGCAGAGATTTACAGTCAAGGTTTAAATCAACTTATATCTAAACTGGCTACAAATGCATCAAATACTGAATTAATTATTAAACTATCACAGGTAGAATAAGTATTAGAATTTGAGTGTAAATTAACTTACTGCATTTTTAACACAATTGGAATTTGATTTTAAATTACGTATATTTTTCGAATTTCGATCTAAATGAATACCAAATAAGTCCATGATCAAAACGGTAGAATCTGTAAGCCGCTCGATTTCAGCTGATTCTAACAAGGTCTGTTATTAGCTTAGTTTTCGCTATAATCAATTTGTATCGCTTACATACGTGTATTCTGTAATATCATAAAATTTGTATTTAATGTGGCGAGGTAAGCCATTCAAACAACTAGTTCCAAAATACAGGATATGTGAATTGTAATTAAATGAATTCTTATTTTTTCAAAAGTACTACTCGCAAAAATTTAGAAGCAAATAGACTTTATTACAGGTTTTTATCAGCAATATTCCTACAGCTTGATGATTATGATTTCAAGGACAATCCCTACTGTGATAATTTATCTACCTGTAACCCTAGCTTGTCTGCTACCCAAGAATTTTGAGCAACGGTTATTGATCGCATCAATAACACTTATATAAATATACTATTACTGCTTATACATATGAATGATAATTTCCAAAGTTTAGGAATTGTATATAATTTTCTGGTATACACAAGCTCAATATTTTAAGTTTATTATACGAAAAGATCTTTCCATCTTCAAGGATCATTATCATTTTCGAAACTGTCGTAACATAAACTTTTAATATTATTTATTAGCTTTCAATACATGTGGTATAAGATAATCACATATCACTCAGATGTTCTTTTGTTATGGTTTTACTCTAATGATGTTATTTATTCATCAATTTGCTTAACAGAAAATTGAAATATCTGTAAATTATACCAAAGTATTGGACAAATTTTTCTTACGAGTGGCCGATAATTTGTTCCCAGGCCAAACATTAAACATAACGGACGACGAAGCAGGTAAAATTTTGACAACTACTAGTGATTTTAGAAATTATAAGTAAATTAAGTCTAGTAGCGAATTTATATAAGCTCCACTACAATGTCGAAATTTTAATTAAGAGGTTAAGATTTAAATTTAGAATGCAGCATATGATAACTAATAATGAATGGAGTGATACCTACAACATTCCATTAAATAAATCTTCATTTGGTAAATATTCGTTTATTAATATGGTTATAATGGTTAGGAGATACAATTATCAAGGTCCAAAAGCAGCAACTTCCTGCCAATACTTATCATAATTTTACTGCAATGTTCAATATTACATCTCCTAACCAAGACAGAATTACGATGCATTTATCTAATATTTTCTACAATCAAAGTTAGTATTGATATTAAAATTCTTTCCCATATTAATTTATTGACTTTATTTCTTAAATCTACGTTAGGAACTAACTAATTTAGGGATAAATTAGTCGTGATTTAATATTCAATATTTTTACTATTCTACTTTGTGTAGGTCAGACCGTTAAAATTCTAACGGGAATTTATTCCTTTTTACGGGATGAAATCACGCAAGCAGCTACAACGTAAGTTATTTTCTGATATTTGTATATCTGGAAGATTTATTAGAAAATCGACATATAATTAAATTTTGAAGAGGCTATCCTATAATTGTAATATGACTGAATACCAGCAATGGTAACAAAGTTTCTTTTATTTTAGCGATAACATCATTTCCGACGTAATAACGTGTAAGATAGATCCAGATCCTCCTGCGGATTCTGGATTAAATTTTCGTTATAGTATCATCAAATCGGAAAATATTTGGCATCAGTTAGTCAATGTAAGTGAATTAAATGTGGTTTAAGTTAGTTCATGTTTAAGTTCGTTTAGAAATTTCTCAATATGAACGTACATTAATAGCACATTATCATATCACTTAAGCTACTATTTCTAAAATTAGTTGATTATTATAGCGTAGAAATATTTAAATTAATGCTAAATCAAGTTGTGCAATAACTATATGATTATTATTTTTGAATTAAACTAAGCACGCTAATAGTCTGCTTCAAGTCATTCAGTAAAATAATTTACGTTTTGATCCGCCAACTATCCGTATATGAGATCGAAGTAAAATAGTTAATAAGCAAATTTAATTGGATTAGGGTACGGAATCGCAGGTGCTTAAGTGCGTGTATTTAAATCTGACAACAAGGTATGATTCCTAAATTGATGATTATTCAAGTATAGCAAATTATCAATATGCTACAAATGATTTTCGAACTAAGTTACCAGCAATTCAGAAATCATTGCCACATGGTTTAAGAATAGTCATTTACATATGCAAAACAGGAATTGGTCTCATTCTGGATGCACTTTAAATTCGAAGATTTCAACACATGTGACGTGCGACTGCAATCACTTAACGCATTTTGCCATCATGTTTCAATTCAGTAACGTTAGTAGACATGAACAGATTCCAAAAAGAATTAGGAGATTAAAATTACATTCTAACGGTCATAAATTTAATATATAATCCAATAACTATATAGTAGTTATATTTCTGTCTAATTTGGTCTTTTTATGTCTCCTAGCTCAATGATCTTCAATCGCTATTAGCTCCAATTATAATTATTGAATATATTGGCATTGGATTTTCCACGATATGCATTGCTTTAGCTCTTATTGTCTTCGGAGTTCTAAGGTACTAAGCCCATTGGCAGCTATAAAATTATGACATACTGTATGCCGAGTTCATAGCTAAAATGGTAGAGTAATGATATGGCATAAATCAGCTTATTTCTTTCTAGTAACTGTTATTATTTAAATTACTAGCTTCTGTTACAGTATTATACACTGTAATTTCGAGATTAGAGTAAAAATTTTTATGTTAGGATAATTTTTGTTGGTTTACTCTTATTAAGTGAGTTTCTAATTTAGATATGTGGGGTTAAATATAGCACTAGCTTTTACGGCAGTAATATCCGTATGTTATGTAAACATATAGCATACTGAAATTAGTAATTAAACCTGAGGAATCGAGAATAATCTTCTTACAATTCAAATCACGGTGAATGTAACTTATAATAGATCATCGTGGAAAAAATTCGTGGTATAGCATATTCTAATCTGACTATTTTGTATTAGTCATTAGATGTCTATGTTCGTAAGTACTATTGTCTTCTTTAGGTAGCTGTAGATAAAGTTAGCTTTTGATCCATTAGAAGGTTTCAACGTTAATATTGCTAACCATGATGTCTAGACTATTATAAAAAGTATATAAATGCAGTATATCGTACTGTAAAGGTCGTTCTTAAGATTAGATTTTAACGTCAAATACAAAGGGTCTAAGTGTTTTTGTAGTCCACTTGTATAGGAAAAGTATCCTGATAGAATTGATATTGCTCTCTGATATATGGTTCAGAAAATCGACTTATTGATCGTAAATTACGTTATCTTGCTGCAAAGCTGTTTTGTAACAAATTTTCATAGAGTTCGATTTACTAAATCAAGTAATATGTTGAAATAAAATACCCATAATAATAACAATTTCTCACATACTCCTTACGTTAGGCTCAAATCTGATCGATTCATAATTCATCGAAACCTCTTAGTAGCCTTATTCCTATTGCAGTGTACAATTATTGCTGGGTCTCAATCAGAAGGAAACAAGGTAATCTGGTTTAAGACATATTTTGTATAAAATTTTATAGTTAATAATACCCTGGCAGAATATGAGGACCGTAATTACTGTTTTTAAATAATCTAATCGCCTTTAAAAGTCCAAAATTACAAGTTACTCATTATTAAAACATGTAAATCGCTTATATTTGAATGCCATTATAGCCTAGCATGTTTAATTATCTACTTATAGACTTTGATTAAATTAATTCTCATTTTTCGGTTAGAAGTATTACAGACCAATATCTTTAGCCTATTATATTTTGATTGCTCATTGTAGAATTTATGCACCGCCATGGCAATTTTGACACATTTCTTTTGTGTAGCAACTTTTTCTTGGATGTTAATCGAAGCTATCCATCTGTATTTTCTCATTATCACCGTATTTAAGAAGAGCAGAATTTCAATTTACTACTTCATCGGTTGGGGTATGTTTTACCAACGTACATAATCCTAAACTCAACCATAGTATTTTGAACATACTTAGCTAAGTTTTCATTGCAGGTTTGCCGATCATTACTGTTGCTGTAACATTAACAGCCAAGTTTGACGGTTATGTAAACAATAATGGGTCAGCAGTAGCAAAATACTAATATCATTAGCTAATTAACAAAAATTTCATTGTTAAATCTATCATTGAAATTTTACTGACTAGCAAAAAGCTATAAAATTACATTCAATAACGATCTTTAAGTTTTACGATCATGATAAGGCTATGCTACTTTATAAGTTCTTAATAATAAGTCGGTTGTATTATATATTGATTTTATAATAGGGTTTCTAGTTTAAATAAATGCTGGTTAAATACACAAGATGGATTTAAATGGGCAATCATGGGACCTGTTATTTCAATTATTGTCGTAAGCAATTAACAGTATTAAGAAAGCGTAACACTATATTTTAGAAATTTATGTAGCACATTTACCCGTTTTTAAATTCTTGAAGATAGCAAGCTTAATTCAGAAAGGGTGTTTAAGGATTAAGAGCAGTATCTCTTAATTCAATTTTTACTATTTTTATATTGTATAGGTTAATGCTGTCGTAATGATTTGTGTAGTCAAGATAACTGTTTCATCTAGCATTGCAGATGCTTACAAAAGTGATAATCGTAAAGGAAGATTACAGGGAATTAAGTAAGTAGGATAGAAAACCCATTCAACAATATAAGTAATTCATTAAATAGATAATAATTAAACTTATTGAATGTTTCATCGATAGATCAATGATCAAGGCTAGTGCAATACTAACGCCTATTCTAGGTCTAACATGGCTGCTGGCTTTAATTCCGATCACAAGGCAAACCATTGTATTTGCCTATCTCTCCGTCATATTGAATTCTTGCCAGGTATTTATTCATGAAAGTTACTTTTGCATAAAGTTATGCAATTGGCAATATATGCAAGAAATATACAAGGCCTTCTTAGCCCCCTCTCTCACATTAGCGTAATTTATAAAGTAGAATGAATAGCAATTTCTTTATTATGTACACGCTTTCGTATTAGTTGTTCTGTACAATTAAACCTTTGATTGATAACGTAAACTCGATTTAATTTCTATAACAGCGTATTTTAAATATTTTTCCACATTAAAATTCTTTCTGATTATTTGCAATATCCATATATTTTTAATTATTATTTGCAGGGCATTACTATCTTCGTATTTCATTGTATCTTAAATAGTGAGGTAAGATTAAGATCTTTAACACTGATAAATTATAATGACTCACTTTTAAAAGATCAAGACATAACATATCCCAACTAGTTGTAAGATATTAAAAGAATGAATTTTGCTTGTGATGACTGTACCCCATAACCAGAGAGTTTAATCAATTATTAAATAGTAATCTTAAATATATTGTCTCGCAGGTTCGTCTAAAATATACTCTTTTAATATCAAGGCGAAGTGCCATCCACTCTTCCAACAAGGTAGTGTAGAAAAAATGATGATTTATTTTTAGGACATCTAAGATATTAAATACGCGAGTGTAAGCGTAGGGTGCAATTTAATTATTTAATTAAAATTCTTGAGTTTTATTATTGTGATTACTAAGTTCTCTTTGAAATAAATACGCAGGCTTCCTTATTTATTGATGACAAATCAAACTTAAAAACTGGTAATTCCGATCAGAAAGGTAAGTTAGTACACTTTCTGTTTCATTTTTACTAGCATGTTACAATGGGTATTTACTGTCATTTTCTTGCTTTCAAGTGTTATAATAATGTTCTATTTAATTTATTTAATTAAACGTGATCAAAAATAACGAATGTACTTCCTTATTGTGTAGATGGCGATTTGAAAGTAGTGCGAATAACGCCGGTAAGCACTAACTGAAATATGTCACTAGTCAATAGCTTCAACTATGTACTGTATATTACGAAAATTATGTAGAAATTTTAACTATGCTTGATAATTATTGCCGTACCTTACTAATTTATATCCATTTATATATAAAAACTATTTTAAAAACAGCCCAGATGTCAGACTAACTGCGAAGAAGCTTGTATAAATCACGTCAAGTAAAGAATTTTCGTAACTAGCGGAGAAAAATTATATGCTCTTTACAGTACTATGAATGAATAAAACTGAATGTATTTTGTTATGCAAAATATTGAGGTTGGTCTTGCAAATCTACATTTATAACGTGAGAAAATTTAAATGATTGCAGAAAACTAGCTCAACGAGACTGCTGTCAGACTTATTCTCCCTAATATCTACCTACAGTAAGACTCTAAATACAGACAATCTCCTATCGTCTATAGTAATACCACTAGTCACTCGTAGACATGACTGAACCCAAGCCTTACTGAGAAATTGTTCAATTTTCATTCTATATTAAATCAATAAGCATTAGCCATCCATCTATATATATTATTATAAAATGATGCAATTATCTACTTAAAAAATGTATAACATGCAGATAACGGAATATTAACCGACGTATATAAGAGAAGTGTTTTTGTAGGAAAGTCTCTTAGTGACAGTTGGCTATTACTTTGCACCTACCAGGTAAATCTGGTAATCCATGCTATTTCCTTGACTGCTATTATCTGCAAGGATTTAATACATTTGGTAATTCGTTGTGATTATTTATTTCATGTTTATTTGAAAAACTGTAATCAATAAGAACCTTTTGGATCGATCGGTTTCGCCTTGCAATCCCTTCAGCTAAATTACTATATAATGAAAAGTGTGTGCCTATGTTGCTCAATGTGAATTATAAGTGATAAACCGAATGGGAATTGCCACGATTTGAAAGGGTGAGCATGAAATAACGTGTTTAAAAATTAGACGCAATTCTTGCAATAATGACACGTCGCTCTATTTGATAGTTATGGCAGGTGAACCTTACCGAATAATGTCGGGTAGCTTAGAATATTATGATCGATTTGCAAACTGTTTTACCAATAGAGAGTCGTACCTTACAACAGGAATTACTATTTTAGGCATCATCAAAGCGTACTACAGCAGTAGAAATTGTCATTCATGCCGCAGTTACTAGTGTACATAACGATTCAATTTGGCGAAAATGTTCAAGGCAAATTATTAATTTGGAGTAGACTAAATCATTATGATGATTTTAATGATGATACATGGGTCATTCGTAGGTGTACAGTACTTGTTCGTTATTTCCATATCACGGAAATTATTATGCAATTTAAAATACAGTAATTCTATACGTAGTACATATTCACCAGAGGGTAAAAATTTTACTAGTAATTTATAAATTGCTGGCTCTTGATGGACTATATGCCAACATACTTGCACGCCTAGATGCCTTTACGTTGTCGATGTATGTGTACGACGAGATTGGTCTAGTTAAGCATAAAACTGCTATCCGAATTCTATCCTGATTACAAGTATGTACTTCTTACACTCGTCTATCTCACTCAACCCTTGAAAAATCCGGCAAACTTTATCTACTCTGCCAGAGTTGCTCAAATTATATTGATATGTCACGACTACTTATACCACAAGTAAATCCATGGATTGCATGCAAGAGGGAGAGAGAGATTTTTAAAAACGTTATTCATTGCAATACAATCATCGATTGTAATCTTGTTTTGAGTATTGGATCTTTGACGAAGAGTACAGCAGTCCAAATGTATTACAACTTTGAAAGCATCTGGCGAAACTTGAGATCCTGCCTGATTTTTGGATGGTTATCCAAGTAACAGTCACTTCGGAGATGAACATTCTAATCAGATTGCAAGGCCTCTATCATCAATGTGCTAGCTAGAAATTCCTATACAGTAAAATTACATGGAATCTTATTATCTACGACTAGAGTTTTGCTAGGAAATAGCTCAATAAGAAGGCAAATCCCACCCTGTTACGGTGTTATCTCACCATTTGAATAGATTTACGTAATGTTAGCTAATATGGTAGAACTGATGATAACTTGATGTTGTTGTTTACTAAATATTGTCGATATATGACCATGTTATGTTAAATGGATTATTTGACAGTATCGGTAATATGTAATAATGATTACTATGACTTAACAGAATAATCTCATACTATCTCTTAGTCGTAATCATGTGTAATGAGGTATCCAAGTTGTTTTTATTATTGTTATGTTCGATTATCATCGAGCCCTATGAAAGCGAGTGCGCTGCGCAAAAGGCTCTAGTTGTTGTAGTTCTCCAGTTTGTAAGTCGTCTTTACGTAAAATAAAAGGGCGTTTAAGTCATAAGTTTGCTTAAGGACTTTTATCTTGCGTTTCCTTGCCACAAACAATTCCGGTTTGTGACACACCCGATTTCAATTTGGGCCAGTGATTGAGAAAATAGACATGCAAGTTCCATCTATACCAGAGAAATTATTTTCCACACTGATTCGGTCGCCAAAATGTCCGTCCATCTATAATCCAACCACTGCAACTCACTCACACCGTACAGTGTACAGTGTACAGTACACTGTACAGTACTGTCGTTCCGTATCATCCTGTGTTTTGGTAACAACCGATTGGATATCATAACAGTACCGTAGTCAAGATGAACTCAGTCTGAGCTGGTACAAAGTCATGATCAAGCAATCATCGCTTAGCACAGCAATCATGGCTAACCGGAGTATCAAACTTATAATTACATTTCCTCCAAACAAAAACAAGAGAAACAGACCCAATATCACGAACTTAATACAATACTAGAACCCGCAAAGATCGTCAGATCCTCAGCCATGATGGACGATCGGACAGACAGACTCAGTAAAACACTCTACAGTGTACAGTACAGTACAATATTCTACTGTACTGTACTGTACTGTACTGTACAGTACTGTACAGTAGAAAAGCATCAATCTCAGTGGACCTACACATTGCACACTCAATTTGCACAGTGCTCTATTGCGCAACACTACTGTACCGCACCGTACCGTTCCGTTCCGTACCCGATTCAACTATTCAATTCGTACCAGCAGTCTGTATTGGCTCATTGGCCACTCGGAAAATTTTCAAGTAGCAAACATGTCCTATCCTCAAGTTGCCCGTGAAGGATACCTTCAGCGATTAAGTAAGTCGACAAACATAGAATGAAAATAGTGATTGAAAGCTTGTTTAACTCTTTCTTGGCTTGCCCTTCCTGATTGTACTGGTAACCACACTTTACAGTACGCGTTATGGCGCTAATAATACTCTAGTCTTGATTAAGTTGAACAATCATCATTGACAAGAAAGCGTATCATAGCAATGAGATAATTGCCCCGTTCCAAGGATACCGCAATAATCCATCATCATCATATGCAGTCTACTGTCAATACACAACAAGGATACTTTACTCACTTATTTCTGTCGTCTCCTTGAATCAATCAACACCTACGGTATTCATAGAACGACTTTTCAGTCGTGTCAGGATAACATCAACCACGCTCATCAACGGTCGGCCATACGTCTGTACTTTGCCATCGCGTTAAATAAATAAAAAAACGAACCTAAATAAACCATCTTGCTAATTAAAGTATGTCGTATCATCAATACAAAAAGGTAGATGTACTGATCCTTCTTTCCAATACGTAGAAATAATGCTACAGAAGTCGTTACAACAGTATTTCTAGACTGTCAAAGAAGATACTCATTTTTTTTTTCAAGTCGACGCATAGAGGTGTACTGTAAAGCCGTCGAAGAAAAATTACAAGTTCAGTAGTTTACATTAAACCAAAGATGCCAGTGATGTCACCTGCAGATAGGCTAAATTAACCATCTTTCCATGGGGTTGCTCATAGGAAAACGAAATTAGATTTCATTGAAAACGTTCACACAAATTGCTTCATACTCTACAGCTAGATAGACTAATTCAACACGATTAAACTCATCTCTTCCATTATCTTCATTGTACAGCCACAATCCTTAAAAGATGGAAGTCGTCCTATTGCTACTTATATCATACTGGAGAATTCGTTTATCATGAAAGCCATGGTGGTAATGTTGACGGCCGAATTTACACTAAAAAAGGAGGCTTAGCTGTCTACAGTGGAATCAGTTATCAATCGCCTCGAAAACCTGAAGGTGTTGATTATTATAGCATGCTTGTTTTTGTCGAAAATAATGGTACAGAAACTTACTTTTTGTGTAAGGATGCCGAAGACGCCCGGTATGCAATTGCTAATTATTATCTTAAAACCGCCTTTTAATTGTTTCACTGCCTGCAGATAATAGTAAACAAACTGACAGTACTAGTTGATAGGATAGTGACTAGCTTGCTAAAATCCTGCACAGTATTCTGTAGGCAGCTCAGTTGGTGTTGATAAGGATAAGCTATTCGTTGTTTTAACTATCTCTTATTGATGAACTTTTAGACAGTGGAAAGCTGCTCTAGATTATCAGTTAGGAAATGGTACCATGGTAAGTTAAGTTCTGCCCGCAATATTAGATAATAAACATGACATGGTCTTGCCGGTGTGACTTAAGCACTCTAAGTGACTTTGATAAAAAATCATGTTCACGTTGTGTTAAAGTATGAAGAATAGAACTATAACAAGTCATACTAAGTTACTAAAAATGATTACCAAATACATAATGGTAATCGATAATTTTGATATAAAATAGTAGATGCTTAGGCAAGATTTGCCACAGTAGTCAGTGTTTCACCTGTTGTTCAACGCCCAAATTGGTAATGTCATGTAAATTCATACAGTATCAAAATGCTGATATTCCTTTTATCAATCCTTCAGCCTCAACCTGGCACTGCCTATCCTGGCGCAGCGCCACCACCTGCTGTTGGAAGTGGACCTGCACCACCTGGTTTTACAGCTGGAGTTCCTCCTCGTGAGTATTTCTGCTTTATATTAAAATATAATCTTAATATGGCTATTCCATGTCAACATGGAATTCTTGTAGATCATTTGAGCGATACAAATCGATTTGTGTTATTTCAAGTCGTTATATTGTAAGCTGGGAATAGTACAGTTTAAGCAAATTACACAATTATTCTGTAAGACAAGATAGATTTAAGGTCACTGAGAAGCCAAGGAAATCGTCGACTTATACATGATAGACTAAATTAAAAACATTCCATTATTTTATCCTTGCAGCATATCCAGGACAGCAGCCATCAACTACTTATCCATCACAACCACCAAGTGCTTATCCAAAACAACCACCAAGTGCTTATCCAACACAACCACAAACCGCTTATCCAACACAACCACCGGCGGCTTATCCGGCTGCTGGACAGCCACCTGTAGTAGGAGCCCAATACCCGTCTTATCCTGCTACTCAAGTACAATATCCAGGTGTAACTCCAACAAATGTTGCTTCAACCACGACAGTTCACGTACATGCTGGCTATCCTCGTCGCCATGGACATTCAAGTGTGGGTGGCTTTGGCGTTGGTCTAGCTTTAGGTGCTGGACTCGGCTTAGCCGCTGATAATCATTTCCATCACCATCATCATCATGGTTTTGGACATCATCATTTCGATCATCACCATGACTTTGGGCATGACCACTTTGAACATCATGACTTTGGGCATCATGACTTTGAACATCATGATTTTGACTGTCATGATAGCCATTTTGATTAGTATTATAATCTTCAAATAATGATGTGTCATATTCTTACCATACTATGGAATAGTAACCGTTTTTAGCAATTTATCTTTGCTAATGTTACGATCAAACAAACTCTTACTCTTTGTCAATATTTGATGTATATTATGAATAGAATTTAGCTAAGAAAGTAAAATTTTTATGTTAGGACCATATGTATAGTTTCTGTTTGAAAAATGGAGTTGCTTTGCGTAGTAAATTTCTGTAATATTAAAAGTTGCAGCTATTATCAACTGTACGACTTCAACAAACATTTTTGTAGTTTAGAGTACAAAAATTATCGAAACCATATTGTAAGCGGCAAAGTTCCAGTATAATTGAGAGTAATAAAGTATTAATCTTAGAAATTTAGGAAACACCATCATGTGGTAATTGCTTTCGGCAAAATGTCATCGCTCCTTAAAAGCAAATGATTATCATCATCGTTTTGCCAACTTTATTATTGTACATCGCTGTAATAAATCTTGCTCATTTAGAGTATTTTTGGATCGGTTTTTCAATCATATATATTCAGCAATTCTGTAGGAAATCGATGCTATATAATTGGTATTCTTGCATGAATAGCGTGCATATACGCATTGAGTTATCGACAATTATCAAGACAAAACTTGTGCAATAGAATGAATTATAACGAAACTTAAACATAATCACTCTGTTTCTATTAAACCTTATCCAAAGATTTACTTTTCGCTAGAACTATTTTTTCAGCTACTTTCCTCATTAAAATGGCACAAAAAAATTTATACACTTTAGTGGAAAAGTCTTTAACGACTTTAAGACTTACGATCGTGATATTAACGTATAGCGAATTCTACAGCGATGTTATAAACGTATAAACGATAAATATAGGTAACTGCAGTTAAAAGAGTTAATAGAATTTCCATTTTCTTCGAGAGGGTTGTTATAATTTAGTTATACTGAAATACTAGACCGTACGTTGCACAATCGATCGCAATTCCCATATTAGAATCAGTACATACGCCATCTAGTCCTATTAGTCATCTACTGTACTACTACAATTATCTGAGATCATTGCATTCTGTTATTCTTCCTCTGAACGATCCCTAAAGTTTTTTTCAGATCTTACTTTTACCAACTTATTTTTATCATTATTTAACGTACTGCTACTCTAGAAGGTCTGTCACTATTAAATTAGCTTATGGCGCATATCTAAACGACATAACCTTAATTACGATACCACTTTACTAGATAAAATACTTGTCATAAATAATACTATACACTAAAGATTGATGTAACTCATTATTAATTCTATTTTATTGCCTCATAATGTAGGCAGCCATAGATGGTGGTGCACAACTTTCATTTTATCATGCATGCAGCATGTTCAATCGCTACTAACGATAGTATTTCATTCCATCTAACCCGAAATTGCAACAAAGTTTAAATAAATTTGATTACAAATGATTACCAATGTTTTTTATATTCATACAATTGATATGAAATGTAGTTGCCAGTTATATCCATAGACAAAATACTTGCATTGGTTTCTAAAGTAAAATGACTATTTAATATCTTTATCGATCATCTCTCTATAATATTAGATATTAATACAGCTGCACAGAAGCTAGCTAGAATGTCATGAGGTTAAAAAAATAATTAAAACATTTTAGTACTAATCTAGAAATTCTAAATCACAGCAGCATACCTGGTACACTACATTAAGAATTAGATCAGAGTAGTCCTGTAAAAAATTTATAAATAATCGATGTTCTATTTAAAACGAATCATTTAATCATCTATAAACGTTAGTAACGATGGGCCATTATTTGTTTAACAAAATACAACGTTACGGATGACAAATCAGACACTTATCCATCTAAACTGCGTCATTTCATTTTTATACAATCGCAAGAGCAATCAGCCTGTTAATTATTTGAAGTTTTAGCCTTACAAGAATTTAAATGGATCACATCAGCGACATAACATTAGTTTTCGCAAATGCAGTATTTCAATAAGTTAAAGACATTAGCATTTAAGATAATTTCACTAAGTTGATCATATGAATCATGTGAGCCAATGACGTATCAAAAAATTAATTGAAAACTTGATGAGAAATTTATTCTCATTATATAAAAAGTATAAGCGGCAAGTAGTATTATAAAATAACCGACAGACTTTCTTGATATGCAGTAACAAATCCTCGGTAATGTTAGGATTTGTACCCTAAATGAAGTCATTCTATCATAGAGTTTGTATTTCTAAAAATCTCAGCGATTGCAATATTTCACAACTCTACTAAAATATACAATCAAATGTCAGTAGATTCACCAAACACGCTATCTCTGGGATCAGTTAACTGAGTAGCTTTTAAAATGCAATCGAACCATCTAAATATAACAAAAGCGAAGCAATACAGTCTTTTACTTAGAGTATTCCATGCTAGCAAATTAATATATTTGCATACCAATTTTTATGTATGAAATATTGTATATCACTTACTCATTGAATTTATCTGCTGGTGGTCGAATGAACATCAGTTGATTAGCATTATGGTTAGGCGATACAGGTGCATCAGCGCTGGACTGATTGAAGTGGCTTAATTCAATGATATTATCCGTAGAAGTACTGTCATCTTCCTAAAATTATTTTCCGAAACAAATGAGACATTTTTATTCAAGTTACTAACTAATAATCTAAATAATCTTTATGTGCGTACAATATTTGATAATGTAAATGTTAGACAATTTGCAACAAATTCTTAACCTTTGCTATAGTTTTCTTCGAAATTGTCCAACCTACTAAGACAACTTCTTTTGCTGCTTTTTTATCCTAATTTAATAAATATTGTATATTTAAGTATACACCCAGTTGCAACAAAATAACCTCATCTTCATATATGTTATCTTGCAACAGATAAATTTTCTCAATGAAGCCGCTAAACTAATTTAGTTTTTTTTTAATTGGAAATATCTACGAAGTGTTTGGTTTTATGTTATCTCGTGTTAAGCATCAAACCAACAATGCTACACAATTAACGGCGTTATGTACTACGGATGGAAGTGACTTTACTAATATCAAAATCAAATTTAATTATTTTGTTAATAAATCACAAATATGCTAAGTCTCAAAATTTAATGACCATTAATAAATTATCCGCAAACGTATAGTACCATAGTTACTTATCAAGCATCAGATTACCAAAATATTACAAGGCAGCTGAGGATAATCATTCATTAATTATAATTTTCAGCGAAATTATAGCTATTGTAGCATTACTGAAGAAATCTATTTAGAAACGTATAGATTGGCCTACAACTTGTATAGCAAGAAGATTATACTCTGCAAAGGATTAACATAGAATATTTCTATTTCGTCAATAGTGATCATACCTCGACAGCATCATAAATGTATAGAACATTTTCATTTCCTCGAACAATGCAGAATTTTCTCTTCCAATTTTTAAAGTCTCCTTTATTAGAGACATCCACGGGATCCTTTAGAGAATAGGCATTACCAGTCTCCTAAAAGTTATCATGATATATTTATATTTGATCAGGCAAAAATTTTCGAAAATTAATATACATGTTGCCCGTTTTAGCCTGTTTTAACCGCAATTATTACTATTTATTGTACGTAATCTACTCATAATCATGTAAAAAGCTACTAAATAATACCATTTATAGCATAGAAATGCTACCTCTTTCAGGAAAGAACAACGATCCTTTCTACGACGAATCTTTGTTCCAGTTTTCGAACTATGCTTACGAAATCTTGTCACTACTTCGTCTCGCCTTTCATATTGGTACTCCAGAATTGGATAATGATCTGTAGGACGGTTGTTTATTCTTTCCGTGAGACCGGACAATAAAATTTCGTAGCATGCGTCGCATACGCGATCAGCTTTATAGTCTTTGTATTCCAGTGGGGCCTTATTATTAGAACATTCACCACATACAACCTAAAGAAGAAAAGATATAAAGTAAGCAAATTGAATTAACGGCTTCATTCCCAGGATTTATTTATGATCTACTCTGATTATAATTAATCGCACCTTGCCACATCCCCTACAATGATGTCTTCTAAAAAATGTCGTAAACATCTTATCGCATATTTGGCATCTAGTAACGTGGTCATCGGCTATCATTAATGGAGCTTGTTTTCCGATAATAAAGGTCTATTTTCAAAAGCGAAAGCTAACTTAATTCTGATGTATAATTGACTTCTTTAATTCTATTACCTATCTATATTAGTTTAATCATTGTATAGTAACTTAGTGTTGTGACTGTAGAATAATAGCTATGTTTAGTATGATATGCGGTAGTGTCTTTTCTATATTTATCTCATGATATATTTAGTAGCCCATAATTATGAACTGTAAGGATAGATTCTATACTAGAGTACAGATGATTATATACAGTAAGATGTTGAGCTCCTATTAAGATAAGAGGAAGAAATAGAATTGTACAGTAAATCATATGTTAGGATATACTTAGTTCATTGTACTTTGAGTGGTAGGAATAATGTCTGCGAAAATACTGTAACCATTTCTATATTGAATTAACGATGGTTCGCCGTAAAATATTGTTATTAATAAGCTGAATATGTGTAAAATATAGTAGCATGCTGCTATACTGATTGTATCTGTGAAGGCTACGGAGAGTATAAAACCAGGAGACATTAGATTATCTGATTGTTCTTTCTAGAAGTCTTTTAGTAGTTGTATTCGGCTAGAGTAGAGCTGCGTGTAGCTAGTCTTTGTATTAGATCTGATGAAGTTCTAATTTTCTACAACTTTGGAATTTTCGTGACCGGATTTTATCACAATCATTATTCATATACTAGAGTCCAAGCCAATAGTAAGTGATAAAATAACATTCTAACGACCCATCTATGACATTATGCGTAATCTAATGGACAACTGATCGAGATTGTTTTCGCAATCTGGTGATTAAAATAGCTGCGTAAACCAGAATTGAAGATATACTAGTCTATTTTATAACAGCAACGATAACAATCAAAGAATACAGTATTGTAGTTACTAGTCAGAAAAAATTAAAATTTAGATACTAGTAGAAGAACATCGGAAGAACTATAAAAATTACTGGTGCCAAACCTTAGGCATGGCCACGTTTTCTCCAAATGTTGCTAGTCGATTACGTTCTTCCTCTGCAGCTGTCTGTAATTCCTAAATTGGAATAAATTTTACTTGCTTAACGATACGAATATCGAAATAACTGTACATGTAAATTAGACTTACTTTAACCCATTCATCGCGCTCTTCGATTGATCTAAAATTATTACGGTGTAACTAAAAGATAAGTAACATGGTTGCAACATAGGTATACCTACTGTAAAATGTAGGTAATTTTCTGGTACGATTATCTTAAACTTAAATGTTATTCAAGTCTACAATGCACTTACTTTGCTTTAAGAATAAATTGTCTCTTTTTATGGTTAATTTGAAATGCAAATGATTCACCATATAAATTTTGATCAGTTGGTATGGTGATCTGAAGGGTAAAAATCGTCTATTTAAGCTATTTGATCCAAAAAGTCGTAAGTGGCAGAAAACTTACAAGTTAAAAAGTATCTACCAATCTTAGTTACAAGTAGAACTATCAGTTACTTTGATACTGATATAAAGATCACTGATATAGCACTTTTGAAGCAAAAGAACTGTATGATAGAGTATCAAGTCTATCAGGCAGACTCTGTAAGTGTACAGCACAGCCATAAAATAAGTTAGCTAAAAAATACGCCAAATTTTTTGAGTAGTACAACTAAATATATTACAATGGATGTCACATAGTACAATATTTCTCTTAAAGAAATAAAATTATTAAATACAACTAACATAAAATAAAAAGTATTTAAGTAGTGCTACGGAAAGCGTTGAAATAGATGAAGCCAGAAATTGAATTTTGTAGATTTTTATATAATACTAACTTGCATATTTTTTAAATCAAATTCGTCTTTATACCGAAATGAATGGGTTACAGCTTCTGGCTCAGTATAGAGCAAGATGTCACTAAACTAAATAATGAAGCCATTGTATATTTTTATAAAAGCGATTTTAAATCGATGAATTTGCAATAGAAATTGTACGTTCTTACTTACTAGGAAAAACATTCTTATTTGAACAACCTTTCTGCAAACTTTTCCAAGTAGTCCTTCTTTAATAAATATCTATCATACCCAATTATTTTAGAAAAGTTAAGGCTCTTTTACTACAATAGTTGTTAAAGATTAACACTATCTCAAAGAAGGAAAAGATTTTAAGTAACTTGGATGGTAACTAGACTACTCAACTTACTCTGTGTGGGACAACTAAATTATAGTCCTTTCTAATTCTTAATCGTTCCTGTACCCTGAGAATTTTTTTTAAATTATCCTAGCAATATAATTATATATTATTATCAACAATCAAATCTATTCTGGTGCACCAAGCACTTTATAAGATATAAATTAAGCCTAATTTTTGGCATTAATTGATATTAAACGCTGTTTCATATCATGATAAATTAAAAGATTAATTAGTATGCCTCTTACCCCTATTTTCATATTTTCATTAATTTTATTAGCAGCGTCAATTATCGACGCTAGCGCACCTGCATTAAGTTTCAAATCAGACTCATTAGACTTCCTCTGATAATTAATAATTCATAATATACAACTACCATGACATACATGATGCAAAACAAATTTCATATAGTGAACACTAATACTTACTTTGTGCATCTGGTAACTCTTCTGAATCCGCTGGTAAATTTTTTAAATAATCTATATACCAAAAATCGCAGTAAGAACAATTATAGCTATTTATATAAATAGTATCACAAGGTAACGCCAGTTCGATAGTAATATATTATACTCCGTGTTTATAAGTAACGCCATCTGACGATCTGCTATAACGCGGTAAATAGCAGCATAAAAAACTATTTGTATAGGTAATGACCGTTACCTTCCATCAATAGTCTATATCGAGGTATACGTTGGATAGGTTTCAGCATATAAGATGAAATGGTTAAATTCTTGCAACGTGATGTCTGCCATCGGAAAATTATTGTAAGTTTGATGTTAGTTGCATTAAATGCATTGCGTAGCAATTCAATATACCTGGAAAACCTGCACAGCTGTAGCAAATTCTGGATGTATTTTCATCGTTTCTTGCAGTAAAGTATTCGTTTTTTCGTAATCGGATACATAAGTTGTGTAAGTCTGAGATAGATAATATTGAAAATCATTCATTATGACAGCCTAAAACTGTATAATGGCCTTATTTGAGTACAATAGCTATCGTGCCTTGAAGAAAGGAGCAAAAGTTTTCATTATGTCAGAAATCCGAGGACATTCATCCCTATAGGAAGAGAATAATTTCAAATACTAAATTCAGTGGAATGCGAAAAAGCAATTAGCTTCTTACATAGTATGATGTTTGTAGACATTAACTAAATCGATATTACCAATTCGAAAGTCGTTCCTGAAGGTCTTTTAATAAACCTTCATTTAGGCCACAGATTTGATTTATAGAGGAGAACAAATCTGATTCTGAAACAAATTCTTTATCAAGGTTTATCTTTCTGATCACTTTTCTAAAATCCTATAAGAAAGATAGCACCAAATGCGATATTTTATCGCATTAACATGATTCTGCATTACTTTGTTATCGAATACAATTAATGACTGTATAATTATCTTGTCTCTTCACCTCATCAATTAATTTAAGTCCTTCAACATATCTGAAATTCGACAAATATTATGTTTTAATTATTTACCAGTAAATGTATCAAATTATACATCAATTATAAGTTAGTCAAATCCATAAAACATTGAGAATTATCAGTCGGTCTCGCTTACGCATTTTCGGTTTGATAAAGCTCATGAGCGATTTTGTATATTTTAGGTCGATTGTATTGATGTTGCTGTGAATAAATGAGCAAAGTAGACTCGTTAAATCATGAACAAAATCAATTCCATATATTGATGATTTAAATACAAATCAGCAACAGTGGAATGTGATTATTTCTAACTAGAAGTTCCAAGCAGACTCACATCGTTCTCTTCGCGTGAACCACCGATCTCGTCATCCGATGATTCGTCTGTAATCAAATTAAGCGATTTTATTAACTGAAATTTATTATTACATGTTTTAATAAGAATTCCAATCTTTTCTATCACTTTTAAGCAGGTACACAATGCAGTACTTGTATTGTGTAAATTTTAAAATCGCAATTGATAACATCTCCCTCCATTATTTTTCAAGTGCCATAATAAATATTTTTATCACTGCAGTATCATGTACCAAATTATTATTTAAAATCAGGTAATATTATTTGCAACATTTGAATTAATTACCTACTTCATCCTTCTATATATATGAGTAATTTTGAAAGTTTTACCTGATGCAGCACAGGAATTAGGAATACTAAAAGTCTCATCTAGTATAACAGCAGGGTGATTGCTACCGCCATTATCGTTAGATATCGTCGACTGTCGGGAATCTACACTCTCTTCAGAAATTGGTGATTCGCTGTAGCAATATAGCAAGCAATGTATGGTACAGATAAAAGAAAGTAATCATGATTAATCTATCCATTTCTGGAAAGTGTATTATAAGTCCATGGTTGTAGATACGATAGGAAAACAGTGGCACTTCAAATTCGTGACAGATAATAATATTATGAAATTGCCCGTATTCAATACCAACTAAAATGAATTTCTATTTGTACTTTGCAATTTGTGTATCCATATATTACAAGTGTGTATGAAGGTGGTCAACTACTATTTGTATTAAATTCAATTTAATACATGTTACGATATTTTAGTTTACTAGAAACATCAGATTTATTGATGGTATTGCGTAGAGAAGCTCCAGATAGAAGTACAATTTGAAACTATCTGGTTTTTATATTTCAAGCGCATATTAGCGGCAATGATTTCACCTGTTAACCACAATAGTCTCATATAGAATTACGTGATTTAATGAAAACTTACGTTGATGTATTTGATGAAACCATATTATCATCACCAGTAGGATTGTCTCCATTTTGGGGAGTAGCACTTGCAGGACTAGATATAATTCTTCTGGAAAAGTTTCTTACTGAAGTGCTAAATTTAGATATCATGTTCTAGTTGTACCTGCAAACGTAAGGGAAATACGAGAATTTGAAAGAATTATTGAATTGTTCATAGTAGTGATTCTGCGGCTTGTTTATCAATACATTTGTCAATTACATTCTAGGCGTGAACCATTAATGTAGGATATCATTATGATAAAAGTTTTCGTCTCCTTCATATTGTATTAAGTTTATCGGTAAATTATTTATTTGAAATCATAACCGACGTAGGTGTAGTGAATTGATTATACTACATCTAGATCACGCAGAGAGCTAGATGTACGAATATTCCACTAGTGATTCTTAGTCAATAGCATTGCATAGTTTTACATTGTGACTTTCTTTCAGTATAGTCTATTAAACTACTGGTATTTAGAAAGCATCTATCACGATAATATAGTCTGTGGCTAAGCAATCAATTCAATTGGTAATCAAGCAATAGCATAAGTTAATTTCATTTCTTTGCAATCCTATCCGTATTGCACACTGAAACAGCTATCTTTAAAGGTTATGATACGATAGCCGCTGCTGATCACTGAACTAGAGTCGTCAATATTACTGATGGCCTTTACTTGAAGATTCACCTTTGCATAGCGGAAGTGGTAGAAAAGACAGTTGCTACGCTATAAGATACGCAAATCGAAAATAGTGCTATCTGTATAATTACAGTGACGTAGTTAGAGAATAATGGTCATGGATCAGCAGTAAATCGCCCTGATTACATTGCTATCATAGAAGGCTTAGTCATTTCCTTTGAAAACTTTAATAAGTGCCTCCATTCCTTCTTTCTGAATTATTTTTTTCCACCTTGCCCATAAAATCGGTAATTCGACGCTAATAATATGAGGAAACTTTGTTCTCATTTTAAACGCATTCGTTCTTGGGATAAGCAAGAGGGAGGGTAGCAAAAATAAAATCAACAGGTAACATTATTCATTGCATCAAAGCTACGATAGAATAGCGGCAGTCGACTTTGATTTAAATAGCTAGTGGGCGGCTTTAATGAGTTAAGTCATTATTAAATCGAAGTAAGCTACAGTTTAGCAGCCGCAAAGAGCAACAACATTGCGTTCTTTAATTGACAAATAACAGTATGATTTTATATAAAGACATCAAATAAAATGATGAAGGATAACTGTTAATCCTAGTTTACTATAATGATACACGTAGGCTGATATGTAATCTGAGCATTAGCAATACAATTAATCTATAATTTAGGGGATATTTCATTTCGGCAATCTTATTTCATAGGAAAAGAGTATCTCATTGTCAAGGCTTTAGTTATATATATTTAACTTCTAATATAGGATAATGTGAATTTGAATTATTTCCATTTTGTATACATACAAGTATATACAAATTATTATTGCTGTTGCGCCGTTGGCGATATAGTCTACAGTATAGGAATCGAAGTCCAGGTTGGGGTTTAAAAGCTTTTAATGAACAGGGAAACCATTCTAATTGAGTGAAGTTAGGACGTTAATTTGAGAAGTTTATAAATGAAGATGCCACATTCATTAATGTACTCTTGAATGGTTACGATCATCACTTTAAATCTATCTGTAATTGCAATTCATTGCTGGTTATATCGTAAATTACTTTTCAAACAAGAATTCTAATTCAATTTTGCTCTATCTCCTTCATGATGACAAAATCACGACGTATACATGAATTGAATTCACCCACTATGGCATTCTCATACCAATTTAAAGAACTGAAAAAAAGAAATAATCTTGATCAATTTCGTATCACTAAATCGTCATCCCAACTCTGTACCTTTACTTTTCCCTATTTGTCTAACCAATCGACATTAAGGTTAATTAATAATAGCTCGATCTGACAGAATATTGTATATTCATGGAGTAGCGTAGGCGAATGATTAAAAATTCAAAAGGGGATTCAATGTACCCCCCCCCCCCCCCTCTCCCTAAAAGCGCCTAGTCAAAAAATCCATTCAACTATTTTAACTACCGTAACGATACAAGTCGCCCTAGTGAGCAAAGGTGACGGTCGATTCTTCTCCAAAGCAGCATTTATTGGATTGGTCAAGGAACGTAATAAATAAAAAAAAAAATAATTAACATGATTTGCCATGATTGTATAAAAATCAAGTAACACCTGTTGATAATAGACTTGGTCGCCGCGTCTATACTATAACATGAACAGGAAGAGAAATGATGATCATCTTATCTGATGGTTTATTACTACAATATCTAAGCCAAGCTCGTGTAGGCGTATATATTAGCGATGTTCCTTCTCTATTTCCACTCTCTTCTCATCGCTATCGTTATCACCTTTGGCTGTATTATGCGCAAAAGTGATCTTATTTTTAGATAACGATGGAGATAACTACATTTTATCAATCAAGTACTTTCTATCGTACAGTACCGTACTGTACCCAGCCTCCACCCATAAGTGTCATCAATCAGGCTATATCGATATTTAGAATCATCATTATCCTCTATTCTACAGTATAATCACGGTTATTCCATGTTGGCCGTAGAAAATTTGCGTCAATTTCTATGTACCAATGATAAACTGAAAGCAGCGAGAAAAAAAAAAAAAATTGTAATCGCTATTCCTTGGAAATGAAGCAACCGTTTACGCTAGACTGTACTGTACTGTACGTCCATGGAAATCAATATTGCAATACTAAACGTCGATTCGATTGCCATGACGGCTCGCTAACGTCCACTTACCAGAAAGGCGAAGGTTGAACAGTTCGCAATTTTGATGTAGTCGTTGAAATCAAAGCTTTCCTCAAGACGTACAAATTATTTTACTCTGCTGAATGATTTTCTACTTCAACGAATCCCAAACGGACAGTCTATACCAATAGCATCGCTGTATCTTTTCTCTCTTTCGATAGTCTTGTTCTGCAGGCGGCTAATTGCAACGACTAGTAATAATATACATTACATATATAGATTGTTATATGACAATATATTAATGAATGATTGATTCTAATTTACCACGATCGTACATTACATATCTTCATTTCACAATGACGTCAAAGTTCATTTGCATAATGTATACTCATTGTACAGTACACTGAGTACGTTACAATACTTTGCACTCAGTGTCTGCTCTTTACTGTACTGTACTGTACACTGTACACTGTACTGTTCACATACAGTACAGTACAGTACGGTACTGTACAGTCAACTCATTCGCACATTTTAAGTTACAGTACCGTACAGTACTTCATTTTCACAATGACGTCAAAGTTCATTTGCATACTGTACCGTACAGTACAGTACAGTACAGTACAATACTTCGCACTCAGTGTCTGGTCACTACTGTACACTGTACACTGTACACTTGTAAAATACTGTACAATACTTCGCACTCAGTACCTGGTCACTACTGTACACTGTACACTGTACGGTACACTGACAATACAGTACTGTACAGTATTTGGGAAACTACACTACAGTACACTGTACTGTAGTGTACAACACGATGTATCGTAGCACGACTGCAGGCTTGCAAACTGAAAATAGTCAACGGACTGGCGTTGTCAATCGGGCGTCAAGGTGGCCAAGATGCAAAGATACCTCCAATTTGTGGATCGCTATTTTACTCCCTTGTATCAATTAAGTAAGTCATAATCACGCTTCTATTCAGCTGTCTTGACGTGCACGAGTATCATGGAATGCTCATGAATGATATGAAAATAAAATGAAAAATCACTGCAAAGTGACATCTTTCGTACTGTATCATGCAATACTGTCATGGCTGACCTTGCAATGGATGCCTATTGCGATCATTGTCAACGTTCAATGTGTGTAGTCTTAGTAGTAAGTCAATGCTGTAAGCTTGCCCAATAATTTGCAACGCAATAGGGTCATGTTGCACTTGAAATTCATTTCTTTCGTCGTCATTGTATACTATATGGTCAATTAGTGCAGGCCAAGATTCTTGACTTGCTTAGTTTATGATGGAGGAACTACGGTTAGATGGCATGATATATGAATAAATGGATTCCAATAGGATAACCCGATCAACTCCGCACACTATTCTGCTAATTTTATAGCATTTGTTAGACTTGCACCATATCTCTCAATGTCTTATTCATTGGATAGAAATGCCTTCTTTTTGGACTGCTTGTAGAACAGTACAGTATCACCAAAGGCAATACATTCCTATCCTTATTCATTATTGTTATTATATTATATTAATTACAATTATAGATGTAAAAGGCAAAGCCTTAGAAGATCACCTAATTTTACAGCATAGCAATAGGTATGTTCAGTATCCAAGATGGTTATAAATAGACCATGCACAACATACCAGGATATGTATAAATTCAGCACTGTATCTACAAATATTCCATGCTTGGATAGAAAGTAAGGCAATGCCTATTTTATTTCTATATTCTTCAAGAATATGTATCGTTGCTGTTGCTCCATCGCATGCCATGTTTCAATGCCGCAGAAAGATTACCAATGTCGATTTTCAAGTGACATCAAAACTGAATCGTTTAGATAATAAAGTATCAGGAAAGAGAAAACGTTAGTCAGTTGTCAATTCCTCTTGACAATCCGTACCAATTGATTTGATTTCCATACATATCAATTTCTACGGTCTTTATAGCCTTATTCTCGAGCATGGAATATGCCCGTATTGCAATACATTAATACCATCATGTGCTATCAAATTTGAATATTATCTTACAGGTGGAGCTCAAATGGTCAATGAAACTTCTCCTCTGTGTCACATTACTTGTGATGATGGAAGCAAGTATACTATTAGTAGGTAAAACACGTATTGCATAATGCTTGTAGAGCGATTACAGGACATTTTAAATACAAACAAGAATTCATCTTCGGATAACGATTTCTTTATTATCATTTTATAGTTGCGTCAAAGGCAAACTTATTGAAATTAATGAATTATTAATAGAAAATCCAGATCTACTTGCAGAAAAGGTTCGATAACCAGCATTGATACTCATAGCCATTCATAATGGTGATTAAAATCAGGCTAAAATATTAACCTAATGTTGGCTTTTCTCTCTATCATTAGCCATGTACTGAAGGCTTCATCGCTGTAATCTTGCCTCGTAAAGTCAATCGCGACAAAAATGGTGATGACCCTATACTAGGTGATGGCTTTCTTAGTAAAGAAAGTTATTGTAAAGCCATTGCTGATAGAGTGTCTGACTGAAATATTTCAAATGTCAATTCGCCATTTTTAATTGCATACACCTAAAGTCAAATGATTCGTATCGATTTCATTGACTTATTGTAAATACTGTACGTGTCGGATTTCGTTCCATAAAGATATTAGATGCTGTAAAAAAAACTGCGGTGAAACTGATTTTTTAGCGACGTTATAAACGTTTATTTAAAAAACGTAGCCTACATTGAAGCTAAATAGTAATGACAGTATCAGCTACTAATGCCTAAATTCTGATGAATCCATAAGCATTCAAGAAATAAATTGTGATATTACCCTTCAATGGAGGTTTTCCAATTGAGTTCGTTATTAATTATAATCATCATCACGTTTCCACTATCCTCAACATAGTTAATGAAATATGCATGCACTTTAGACAGAAATAAATTATTGTCCTGATGGAGATATTCTTTTACATAGCTCATCGATTAAATCATCAATTCCATCGGAAACAACCAACCCTTGCATGGACACATCATCAATAAAGCCGGATGTAGCGGCATTTTCTGCCTACATCACATCAATAATTAATCCTCAATTACTTGACAGCAAAATCTGCTATATTAAATATCTGTGATGCTCAACTGCAATTATTATAATAGATGCCTTACCCATTTAAGAAAATGGTCATAATATCCTTTCATATTAAATAAACCCACTGGCTTCGAATGTTTTCTAATACGAAAACTACAGCAATGGCATTGAACAAATTTAATGAAACACAAAACAGTGGCTAGTTTTATGACATTTGTGCACTGTAATTATAAGATATAATTTCAATCAAGTATCATTTATTAGCTACCCATGCTTGTTACTCATAAAATCATCTTACCCGGTCCAAATGTCAGTGACTTCATCAACGGTGCCAATGCCTCCAGGTAAGGCAATAAATGCGTCTGACTATTTTATGGAATTGCGATTTAGTATCCACAAAGGTAAACGATGTTCATTAGCCCGGTACCATAATAATAATACAAGTGCATTATACATTCCAAGAATGTTATATTAGCAATTACACAAGAGTATTCCTAAAAACTATTTGATACCAGCAGCATTTACCTTTTCAAACATAATCTTTTTTCGTTCGTAAAAATTGGGGACAATAATGGTTTCGCCGACTGCATTACGATGCCTCGAACCTACAGTAAAACGTTTGCATGCATCCAATGATGTGAATAAGAAACTCTCAAGCATAATGTTAACGGTACTTTTAGCAAGGGCGGTCGCTAACAAGGGCTCTAGCATTCATGGTTGATATTCGGCAAGTTGCCCTCTATCGTTACAAAGCTTACAATAATGTAGAACGATTCCAAAATTGCAGCATACTTTCTACATTCATACGGAGTAGCTATTGCTTTCTAAACTGTAATGCTATTGCAATCGAAAGAACTAACCTTCAAAAAAATCGGGTATAACACCAGTAATATGACCACCTCCTTCAGCAACGCCGTTGGCTACAGCTCCCATTAAGCCCAAATTGCCACCACCATATACTAAATCAATTTTCCTAGCAGCTAATCGTGCTCCTAACTCTGTAAGAATGTTTGCATATTATTAATAACTCCTTATCACCCTGCTTTTATTAGTAGATGTGTTTATGCTAAAGAATCCCATATTTTTATAGTTTACTTTTTCGTTCATAGCTGCATTAGGACAATCCTCCAGTTCTGTCAATATCTACATATAGTATTTTACTATTATAAGGAAATTAATTGATAGGTTTAACAAGTATTTATGATTTTTTTGGTTGGCATGGGAGCTGAAATAGTTGGATTATCACAACTATGCTAGAACAGCACCAATCATACAAAGATTAATTCTAAATCACTGCAACACACTAAGCATACAGAATAGGCATAGATCAGGGAAGTACTTACAATTATCAAAGCATTCTAATCTTACACTATTTATTTAGTCATATATCGATTAAATTTTCTATTTCTTAGCCTACTTGCAACTGTTACATTTCTGTATGCACGACCTTCTCTGTATACCTAATGTACTTTACTTAGAATGAAAGTAATTGAATCTACGCGTATGATCAGTATGAAAGTAATTATATTCTAGGTCAATTTTTGATACTATTTTTCCAGAATCGTTCGTAAGTCTAGAAATAACACTGTTTTTATATTTACTTATATGTACGAACTACTGCAGAACTACTGTAGTTGACACAAGGAATGTGTAGTGTAGGAAAAATACGTTCTATGGTGCGACTCCCGATTATATCATCGTAAGTAAGATGGCAGCGTTAGACTTGAGTAGACCAGTGGTATCAGAGATTCTATTTAGGCAGTAGGATAGATGAGTACTGCGAGTGGATCATTTTCGAGATGATCGCTATACCTTTACGTGAGAATACAGGGAGCTTCGGAAGTTGGCATCAGTCTGTATCAGTAACTCGTTATGATAAATCTGGAGTAAGATGACAATCATAACTAACCTGAGGTCTCTCACTCTGAAAAGCAATACTCCATATTGAGCTGGATAAGGAAATTGGCAGATTAAAAGAAATTTGACTAGGGAGAATCATTCAATTTGTTCAATATCTTTATCAATACGCTATCATGAAGGATAACATAAGGCTGACTCCTCTTGAAGGGAGCAGAGTCTGAAATCTAAGATGTCGCTGTGTGAATCTTATGTTTTATACGTTTAGGGCTACTGTAACTTTCAACCCTGATTTTAAGCAATAAACTGTTGTTATCTGCTACCGTTAGGAGCTGTTTATTTGAGTTGCAGCTGCATAGCAAGGATAGAAATAGTACTTTACTACACAATGTTACTTTACATTCTGCCGCTGTAGCAAAGTCGACCTCAAAGCGCTTTATTTGCCTGATCAACAGCTCCATCTTGCAGACTCATCCAGTACTCGTACATGTAACTCATTCACTGGCGGTAAACCCATTCACAACAGGCTCGCACATATAAAACTAACCTTTGGCTAATCTCATATAAGATTCATCATTACCAGGCAAGCTACCACAATAAACGGCAAATTTCATGTTGGAATTGATATAACCAGCTGACTCAATGTAGCGAAAATTCTTTTGCAGTCTTTTGCAGCAGCGATGCAGCGATGGCAACAGCAGAATGATCTAGTACGGTACTTACCGCCTCGTGTCTGTCTGTCTGGATATCTGTACAGTCTTCATTGACCAGTTTGACCACCTGCACATTCTATGACAAGATTTCATTTTGCTGGTCATTTCAACTGAAACGCATACCTGAAGCAATACGTTAGACTATCGGCAAATTGCCATCCAAATTAGATGCTTGGTGGATTTTGTTAATGATAGTTTTGATTTGGGTGCATTATTTTGCACTGAACGGCCATTTCTCGTCGTCTCTTGTTCGACAGTAGTAGGCCCCGATGGTACGAGTATAGCATACTGCATTTATAATATATTGTAAATATACCATTGTGACAGTGTTATATAGAGTAGTCGAGTAGAAATATCTATGTTAGGATAATTTTGTTAGCCTACCCTTATTTACTTAACTTCTAATTTTGGATATATTGAGTTGGAATGTAGCACTGGCTTTTTAAGACAGTGACATATTGTGACGGTGTTATCTCACCATTTGAATAGATTTACGTAATCTTAGCTAATATGGTAGAACTGATGATAACTTGATGTTGTTGTTTACTAATTACTGTCGATATATGACCATGTTATGTTAAATGGATTGTTTAACAGTAATAAAGATTATTATGACTTAATAGAATAATCTCATATTATCTCTTAGTCGTAATCATGTGTAAAGAGGTATCCAAGTTGTTCTTGTCGTTGTTATGTTCGATTATCATCGAGCCTTATAAAAGCGAGTGCGCTGCGCAAAAGGCTCTAGTTGTTGTAGTTCTCCAGTTTGCAAGTCGTCTTTACGTAAAATAAAAGGGCGTTTAAGTCATAAGTTTGCTTAAGGACTTATATCTTGCGTTTCCTTGCCACAAACAATTCCGGTTTGTGACACATATATGCAGTACATATACTGAAATTAAGAGTTACTAGTGCAAACTCCCGTCGCTTTACTGACGGTTTACGATAATGTGCTCATTTAACAGAGGTTCAGTAACTTTATACCGTACCGTGTAGACCTGTCAGAGGTTCAGTAACTTTATACCGTGTACTGTGTACTTTATCAACTATTGAAGAAGAGTATATAAATGCAGTATATCATGTGAAATAATTAATTCTGAAGCTTAGTGTTTATCGTAAAATACGAGGCGTCTAAGTCTTTGCGTAGTCTACCAGTAGGCCAAAAGTGTTCCTGATAATGCAGATATCCATTCCTCGATACGTGGTCAACAAATGGACTTATTGATCATACATTACGTTATCTTATTGCAAAGTTGTTTTGCGACAACCATATATGTAGGTTTTATAATACAGTTCCGAAACAGTCATAGACCAAAGTCGTCAAGAATCGACAGACTGTAGGGTCAAAATCTGCAATTTTTCAAGATTCTGAAATAGGAGTATGGCCGGTAGTTGGTGATAGAACCCAATGCATAGATATTTCGTACACTCGTTTTACTGAATACCCTATTTCAATATCCTAATAATTAATCGTTATGATAGTAGGATGCGCATATATGAGTGGAAGTAATAAGCATAAAGAGAACCTGAACTCGGCAATGGTTGCGAGCCTTGATACACGTGTATTTTAGTCAGTGCGATCTCAACAATAATGATCCAACGTTAGACGTTTTTGTAAAATGTCCCGCGAAAGATGATAGATACATTTGTGTCTAAACACATGTACATTAATGCATTAAATCTCTTAACTGAGTAGCCTATTTCAGTATCCTGGTAAGGGAAATTAGATAAAGCGTATGGAATTGTCGATAATTTATATTCAACGTTAAACGTTCTAGTAAAATTATCCCTGTGATATAATATATATCGGTATTTAAACCCACCTACTATACAATGTACATAAACAGTACATCTTTATACTGAGTAAGTTAGACATGTTATTCTCCTCTTACTCTCTGGGACTCAAACTCGTTACAAGCCCCAGCTTTTACTCCCAGCAAGATAATGTGCAAATCTTAGAACTTTAAAATTACCTTTTATTCACGCACCCTTATTTCGGAAGTAGCTTAGTAATTCCAATTTCTACAAACGTGATCACTCACAACGTTATGATTCTAAAAGAACTGTTCCTTGTGCTAGTGCACGAGTCTATTTATCTCTTAGTTACGCGATTCTCAGTCGAAACAGCTGGTCCTGAGCTATACCCATATACAATATCATACGTCGTACTTTACAATTACAACAAGACATTTTGTAAAATATCCTTGTGATGGATGATATACATCCGTGTCTAAACCCATCTACGTAACCTCGTACATCTTTTTACTGAGTATCCTAATTCAGTATCCTATTAAGGGAAGATACATAAATGCGGAACTGTCGATAATTCATACAACGTTAAACGTTTTGTAAAATGTCCCCGAGATGGATGCTATACAGCCATGTCAAAGCCCATTTACACAGGCGGTATATCTTTTTACCGAGTAGCCTATTTCAGTGACTTTTTAATTAAGGGAAAATATATACTGCATGAGGAACTATCGATGATTTATACAACGTTAGACATTTTGGTAAAATATTCACGTGATGAATGATATATATCCGTGTCTAAAGATATCTACATATACAATATATCTATACTCGTGTATACGCGTAATAAAAATAATTAAAGAGATTGATAAAAGGAGATTTACAGCAGACATTTATAAAATATTATCATGATTGATAAATATAGCTTCTTGCTTAAATTACCTCATGGAAAACTACCATTTGTTCCGACTTCTGTGCGAAAGTTTACGGTAATTCGTGAACAAGGAAATTTGCGGTTGAATTTAAAGTTTGTGTACTAAGGTAATCTTAAAGCTCATGTTTTGCTAAATATTTGAACTATGCAGTAAGTAAGACCTTAAGAAGGCTTTGGATGGTGATAACTTTACTATTTTACAACTATTTCAAGCCAAAATTTGTCACCGGGTCCCTAATTCATATAGCTGATGTTTGTCTATTTAAACTGATTTCCTTTGGACAGCAATTATATCTTAAACACAAAGACAGACGGATACAGAATGGCTAATTTCTTAAATCAGAATCATTTATCCAAGATATTCCTTAAAGGTTATCGTAACCATAATATCAGCAAACCTAGAACTAGTAATAAGACCTTATATCGGAATAAGAACCTTTAATAAACAAAAATTTTTTGATATCAATGCGTTATTAGTCTGAATAAACGTGGCTGCTGACATTTGCTGACTTTCCCATAGACTTATGATACAATTAACATACTCTTTAGCTCATACAAATAATGTGGAAGTAGACCTGGGTAATAAACACACGGTGGAAGCGTAATGAAAAGATTTTAAATATTATATCGGCCTTTATTAGTAGAAATCATGGTAAGAATCTACATACTGCACGTTATCTAAATCTTAGTTAATTTTATAGCGTTTAATAACTGAATTTTATCTCCTAATAAGAACGCGTGCGGCAAAAATTTCACCTGAAGCTGACTTCAAGATTTCGATCATACTATGATAATAAAAACAAAAACAATACAGGTGAAATAGAAAGAACACAAATTTTTTTTGTTACTATTATAAACAACGAAAACGTTTTCGAACAGCCCTAAAATTGTCTTGAGATAGGAATATGATCGGAATAACAACACAATCTGCATGTAACATAATAACCAAAATATACTCATAGAATAAATTTATTTTCAAGATACCGGATAAACTAAGTGCAATCAACGTCGATACACAAACATAGCAAATAAAAAATATTAAGCAGATAATAACTAATCGAATAATAATTTTGATATCAGCAGCATTGGTTTTGTTGACTAGTGGATTTGTTGACCGAGATAACTGATCGATAATTCGCCTTCGGGCTTTACGAACAATTTGAAATATTTTGGAATAATAGTGGCATACTAAACAAATTGGAACGGCAAAATAAAGTATAGTAAGTAAAATGTTATAAGTAAAATGCCATGGTTGTACTCTTCTCATATCATCAAATAATGAGCAGCTACCAATAATGCCATTGTAGACAAATTTTCCCCAAACATCACCAATGGAGGGAGCCAAAGTTAAGATTGGTAGTACCCACGTAATAATGATAATGAAAGATACTTTACGAAAGAGTATAAACCACTTTGATCTAGGACGACGGGATACGCAGCAGTATTGAATAATAGCTAAACTAGTTAGCGTTAAAACATTTGTCATATTGAATGCAATCGATGAGCCACCAAGTAACCGACAACTGAAGCTATTGCTGTGAAAAATTTGAAAGGATGATGTCGTATAACGAAAGATGACTTTGATGGTCCTAGGAAATCAGTAAGATTAAAATTAATAATGCAATCAGAAAAGAACAATTGGAAATTTTCTCATAGATGAAACAAATAAGAAATAAAGATCTTGACTTCCAGATAAGAATACATTTTGCCTGAAGATGAATACGACAGGAGATAGACTATCTACTTACTCTATGATCATAAATCCTAAATCAGAGATTGCCAAATTAAGGATAAGCCAATCGGTTGGAGTAATTTTGCTTTGTTGATTGGTTTTGCTTAAAATCAGTAATGCGTTACAGAACAGTGAAGCAATAAGAATAATCGACATTAAAACCAATGCGCCAGTGCTATTAGAAATTAAAAGTGGATAGGTGATATTCGATAAATTGTGGGCCATGATCTGCCTTTTCTTGAAGTAACTCTTCTATAAAAAGATCAAAGTTGAAACCGTTGCTTTAGCTCAATTTTGCTCACCGCCAGCAGGTAATGGGTAAGAAAGTTATAAAATTAAGCTATTCCAGTAGATAATACAATCAGTAATAGTGTGAAATAGTAGGCAGATTTCTAGTCTTTCCTTCCTTTTATATACAACTACGTGATGTTTTTGAGATAGCTTTCAAATGATGCCAATTGGTTTACTTGGAAATAATACTGAATTCATCTAAGTAATTCGAATCCAATTTAAATCTGGTATTGACATGATGTCCTCAATGTTATTTTACTATTTAATCTTGCTATTGTTATTTAACTTTACGTTTAATAATCCTTATTGATTACTTCATGATACTGTCTTGATGGGACTGCTTTAAATGACGTCTTAGCTGTTGCCACTGTTATTACGGCTGTCAACGCCGCTACTAAATGAGGGGCTAGTCAATAACTTTCAAATTTCTCAATATTACAAATCGTTAATTTTTTTGTATAATATCTGAATTCGCAACAATCACTGCGTTCTTATTCGAAAGCTGTTAATTAAAGGATATGACGATAACTCATCTAATATCGACACACTTTCTTATAAATATTACTAATAACTTTGGAAATACCGAAAGACCACCTTCGAATACAATGTTATGTCTTATTGAAAGCGAAACCGGGCACAACTGATATTTAGGCTTTGACTAACATCACTTACATTAAGGTATTTATATCTATGAGTAAGTGAGATAATGAAGCAAGAATTATGTCTTTCAAAGGAGTGCAAAGGAATATTGCTTTAATAGTGATGTTAAACAATAGCTGGTGGTATAAGCGTAGGTAAACTGCAGCATTTTGTGATTGCAATATTAGGATAACAATAATTCAATTAACCAATATTTATTGCAACTCCCAGTTATTAACTTCTGATACATAAACAATAGTTTTGTCAATATAGAATAAATCTAATTTTCCATTAGATTTCTAACTGATACTGGCTAACTTTCTATCACTTAGTGATCATTCTGTCACCTGAGTTAATTCATCTGTGAATTAAGTCTAAATAATATATTGTCAAAAATTAGATGTTTAACAATGAACAATACTAAAAGAATTTATTAGAAAATCTATCATTTTCCTTTAGAGGTAAACAGAAGACAATTAGCAGAATAGATCTTTCATTGTCATAAATATTAACTTTACTGCCTATCAAAATTTTAATTATTTTTCGAATAACAAAATTCAGACAGTTTATCCGACTCTTTTTTTAAATTAGATTTTTTCAGGTAAAAATGCTTGAGGATTTTATAATTTAGAACGACAATAACAATAAACAGGAACTAATCAATTCCATACAACGCATTGGATTAACGTAATATTACTGCATTTGTTTTTGTAATTCTATTCATCATTTCCCGATTTACACGAATATCTGGAAGTTTACAATTCTTGTTTAAGTTAGGCTTACATTTTAAACACCTTTTTACTTTAATTTTACCTATGGAGTAATAATATGTATTAATAAAATTATTTACTATCTCGTGGATTGAAGTCTCTATAATAATTTATTTCAGAAGTAAAATTTTCTATTATGAATTGCACTACTATTTGCATTCATTCCCTAATGATTATAATAGATTATATTATCTAAATAAGAGTATAGTCTACTAGTGCGACGTTATATGGCTAGGTAGGTATGAAAAATAAAGAATTAAATCATTTATTGTATTATTTCTTTACGGCCAAAAACTATGTACAGTATTTCATAGCTTTCACTCCTAACTATGAGCACGAAATTGGATTATATACGTTTGAGATATTAGTATCAATCAGTTAGTATAATTAAATGACCTCATTTTATCTAATTATTCTGGCAAAAATATCTAAAATGAAATCTTAAAGGTCAACAAGGATATGTATCATGTTAAGATTCTTTCTGCAATTCTCTATATCAATTAATTAGGAGATTCTCATTTTTTTCATGGCAAGTTTAGTAGTCTTGGTTTTACCATAGAAACTGATCCATCCTGTTATAATCTTAAAGTGAGTCTTAAAATTTGGAATCGTATCAGCACTTGCATAAACACGGTTGTGATATATACCGATCACGAAATTCCAAATTTTAGAAAAATAAGGGCTTTATTGAATCTTATACAAAGATTAACTGCACACAGCTCTACTCTAGCCGAATACTACTTCTAAAGACTTCTAGAACGAACTAACAGAATAATCTAAAGTTGCATGCTTTTATACTTTTCGTAGTATTCGCAGCTACAATCTGCATGGCAACCTTTTACCTTATATTACACATAGTTAAATTATTCTTAGTAAGACTATTCTACTGCGGACCATCATTAATCCAATATGGATACGACTACAGTACTTACGTAGACATTATTCACACCAGCCAAAGTACAATGAATTAACCATATCCTAATGTCTGATTTACAGTTCTATTTTTACCTATAACCTTATTAGTAACTCAACATCTTACTGTATATAGTCATCTGTACTCTAGCATAGAGTCTCTACCACTACAGTCTATAGTTATAGCTACCAAATATCTCTTAGGATAAATATCTACCGTATATTATACTAAACATGGCTAACAGTCTACAATCACAATACTAGTTACATTACAACAGTATTTATTATGTGAGTGATCAACTAACTTACGAGCTACTTAGTCACTCCAACTAACTACGGAGAGATACTGTAAGTAAGACTAACAACTTCCTCACATGTATAATAAGCGGCTTGTTGTAAGATTAGCTTTATGAGTTTTTACTTCTATTCAAACAACGAAAGTATAGTACCTTGTCGTGCACTAGAGAAGTATCAACTTGTAATTTTAGTGGTTAGCAGTTGATACCCTAATTTAGGATTGCATAGTCTAAAATAGTAATTGCCAACTAGCTAAACTGGATTATATTTATCGCCTCCGAGATGTTAAGGTTCGAAGTACAACTCCTATGTTTAGAGGAAATATCTTAGTACGATAGATTTATATGTATCTGTTAAACTATTAATAAGCATTGATTATTTTAATACTGTTACAGTAAATTTAATAGGATTAGACTGTATCTAATCTGTACGGATAGAATCTCTTTCGGGTATTAATTTGGTTAATCTCTAATGGACGAGGTGACTTGTATAGCTAAACCGGTTTTAGGTTTGAAACCTATATAAACGAAGAGTTCGCCGACAATAAATTAGATTCTGATTTTCTAGTAAGTCTGGAAGGTCTCCCTGTATTAAACCCTATCTGACTTAAAGTACCAATTGTCTGGTATTCCAAAATTAATAGAATTTTACCGGTTATCTAGAATGTAATATCAAGCAAATTATTAGCAGTCACCTTTGAAGTTCTGTCGGGAAAATCCTCTTGGAAGCTTAAGAAGCTAAGCAATATGCGGATATTAGATGTAAAAATCAAACGATAGATTGGAATGAGTACATGGTATATTTGCTTGCGAACGATAGCAGAGGATTTAATTAATTTTACTGATACTTATATATTGAATATATTTTAATATAGCAGTTGATATCTTCATGCAATTTTCGGTATGGTTAAAACAGTAAGGAAATTTCGGTAAAACTTAAGCGTTTTTATTTCTATTGCTTACATCACATCAGCCATGTTTATTGACTGCAAAATATTAATACTAAAGAATATTTAATTTACAATAATATTTATACCGAGCTAAAGACATGTACAAATATTTTGATGATATAGTATATGAACTCAATACTATAGAACAACGGACTGTAGTAACTACATGTACAGCATAAACTTACATTTTGACGATATAATAGCTCAGTATGGCACAAAGTAAATGGCTACGGTGATTAATATAGACATAACAATTAGGTGCTGTGCTCAAAATCGTAGTAAGTTTAACGTGTATTTACAGTTATTAAAGTTACTTATAGACGTAATAGCCAATTTTCGAGATGTTATTACAAAAAAATTGATTTATTATAAATTCATTATACACTAGTCCCGTCTTAACCGAAATAGATACATTATCTAGGTAACTTTATAGTAATATCAAGTCCATAGTTTTTCCGTGCATTAGCATTACAACGTGAATTATCTCAAGATGGAACAATCGTCAGAAAGTGTTCTATAGATTGGGCTTATAAGGTGACAATTAGGTGTATAGATGGTAACGAATAAATACGGCATTAGTATAAGAGTCAACTATTATAGACAACAAAATAATGAAGCAAGGTATTAGTCTTCTCAGTACAATAGTTTGTTATCTTCTTTCTCCAATGAAAGCTAAATTACCGACAGTGACTTTTCATTAACAATGTCCTTACAAAACTAGGAGTCAATAGCAGCTGAAGTTATAAATTAATAGAATATTCATCTAGCTCACAATAATAGATGAATTAGGGTAGATTACACTTGAAAAGCTATCAAGTATGTTCAACAATTTGCTGTACTTATAGAATTCAAGATGATAATTTGACATAGAAAGGGCCTTTGCTCCTAGAAGCGGATGTATTAGGATCTTTCATATTCTAGCAGAGAACAAATTAGCATAGGTATCTCAAAATCGAAGTTATTTGCCCATAATTAATTTGTATTGTATTACTATACTATTATAAATATCTTTCCTCTATTTTTCCAATTATGTTTTAGAAAGATATTCAAAGTTACAGTCTTGACAAAAAGATTTTATCACTAAAGCTTACATCGGAGTTTGCTCGGCCGGAGTTCATTTTCTGGCTAGTTACTAATATTGCCTTCCTTCTGGTTGCTACCCATGCACTTTTAACCTAAAGTAATAGATCAATTTAAAGATTGTACTAAAGTGTTGTTTAAGAAAGAAACTATAACTGTCACAAATCAGAAATATAATCCATTCAATGTGCTGAAATTATTTACCAGCTATGTAATATACGCTTTCTTACCTCACGATTTAGAAGGCAGCTAAATATCAAGATGTGAAGACCCTAGAAAACATTGAAATGCTTATTTAAGATGATTTAATGCTTTTGATAGCTATGATATCGAAACCTATAAAATTATGTATACTACAGCATAATGTTTGCAAATCTAAATATGATTTAGTCAGTATTTAAATACTATAATTCCTGGTATATCCATGAAGCGATCTATGAATGTTACTTTATATAAATTAATCGTTAAGCAGCAGAAATATAGAGTACCTGTAACGAATTGAATATGATAAACAAATAACTGTAAGCGGTAGGGTTGTATCCAATTGGAATTATCCCTAAACACCACGATAATACAAGTATTGACCATAAAACGGCTGCAGCCTTAAATTCAGACCTAAATAACAACGTTTCCGAAATTATAAGTTAAACTTATCCGATGAATGGATTCTCATATTAAGAATATAAATTATGACAACGTTAAACTACTCTAATAGTAATCTGATGTTGTAAAAGGTGCGGTTCTATGGAATAGAAGCGGGCTAATGCAAACAGATTTGATTTAGAAATATCTGTATGCAAGAGCAGAAATACAAATAAAGTGGTGTAAGATATCTTTCTAATTATTTTAATTAGCCTGTTGCTATAAGTAGTCAGAATGGAGAAATACTCGTATTAGTGAATTTTCCTACAACATCGATATTCCATTAAGGTTACAATTTAAATGGTACGCAATACTGTGATAAATGAAAGCCTAAACTTAGCACCATCATCGTAAATCTATGAGCTCTAGTAATTAAAATTTTTTCAGCCAAGAGCCTCTAATAGCTATCTTATTTCGATTATCATACTTTTTAATGGCAAGACCTAATATTTCGGACTAGTTTTGCTGATATATTAATTATTTATCAACAGCATTTTCAATTAATTACATAGGTAAAAAACTAAGGGTCAACTAGTAGAAAGCAGCAGTCTTAAATTAAAAAATAGACAAACATACTTGATTTTAATCAGTTTATCATTTTTAGTCACATTTTCCGATGTGATTGAAGCGCGTTTAATGATTAGCTTCCTTAGCACTACCAGGAAAATGATGCTATTTGCCTATAAGATGCAAATTATGTATTAATACCTTCACAATTACACAAGTTTTGAACATTCAGCAATTTTTAACATTTTCAAGCTAAATGATCATAAATTCATAATAAATACCAAAGTTAAGATCAATATTGGAGTAAAGAGTGCCAAAAACATGCTACTATTGTAAGATATCCAGCACCTGAAAAATAAAAATGCCCATAAATGAATGAGATATACTTATTCAAGTATATCGCGTTTAATTAAAATGTTAAGAAAATTAAATTGAAAAGTAGAAAATGTTAAATACTACGAAATCTATGCAGATTAAAGTAATAACCCTTCATCCAAGCCATATTGATTAATATGAGTAGCGACGGTTATTCCTACTATTAGTGTTGGTATACCTTAAATTCATGGTTGATAGAAAAGTACACTTAAGCTTATCATTTAAAGAACAGAACCTACGAAAAGTCGTTAAATATTCAAACTTGCGTTAAAGACTTACCCCATCCAATTATAAAATAAAACCTCGATTTATTACGTTGATAAATAGCTGCCGTTATCATAAAGTAGAAGTATAAGCCTTCGACTGATATCCAAGTTAAGGAAGCCAAATAAAATAGGTGAAACAAGATGGTCGATATCTTGCACAATACCTATTTAATAAAGTTGGATTCAATTAGCTCCATTGCTTTATAAATATTGAAACTAAATCTGTTACATAAATTATCGTATATTTTGATATTATTTTCCAAAATAGAACTTTATCTTTACAAGTATTGTGTAGTATCTATACGTTTTAAAATTAATAGCTGCTTACCTGCCCTTTAGATGTACTAATTCCCAAAATTAAGGACATTTGAGCGATTAAAATGGCTACGATCAGATTCTTTTGAATCAAAGATCTTTCAGTATTTAGACTAAAGATAGATTGGAAAAAATATAACGTTAATATGAAATTTCTTCGGATTTCTATTTTACAAATGCTTATAATATCTAATCCATATGCTAATCATATTTCAAACCTTAGATATAAATAAGTGACTAAGGTCACTATGAGAATAATGATGGAGGCACCAACAAAGACATATGCCAAGATCCGTAAAGCTTTTAATTTTCCACATGGTTCTATTATTTCAGTCTAAAAGATAGTTACTACCTTTAGAACTTATTCAAGAGCTTTTAAATCACATTCAATTCACTTACTATATACTATAGCTAAACTGTATATTATCAATTAAATACTGCGCAAAACGACTTTATAAAATAATATACCTTAATATTATGTCGCTGTAAAGCAAAATGGGTCAAATGATTGCAAGAACAAACTGTATAATTTGCGGCTCTTTCAGCCACATGACATCCTTGAGAGGACCATTTACTGCCGAGAAGAAATTTAAATAAAGCATATCAAGATAATTAAACATTTCAGTATTTTTTCATTCATGCTTCCTAAAATTAAATACTCTGCAGTAAATAGCACTATTAATCTATTCCAAGCCATGGAATTGTTAGGTTATTATTATATTGAGAACAATATTCAATATACTTCATGAAGGAGAAATCTGTAGCTATCTGATCGGTATCGCAAGTTTTAAAAAGATTAAAAATTGTAAAATGACTCTAAATCGAACCTAAGTGTTAGATTCCAAAATACGCAAGTAAAATTGGATGATTCATTCGCTGATTCATGATCAAATCGGTAGCGAAATTCTCTTTCATTTCCGTTAAATGCCGATTTAGGATAGACCGTACATGAAATAATAGCCGATAAATTTCTGCAGTGTAAAATTAACCAAAATGATAATTTAATGATTAAAAGCTTTTAAATTTGCTAACACTAGATACATAGAAGTTGGTTCAACCCTATTAATTATCAAACCTTGTATTGGTGAAAACTTGATTTAATGTTGGCATAAGGCCGACGCTGATTACAACTTTGGAACCTAAAGCAAGCATTAAATGTGAAGCTCTCTAGTACCTTTTTCAATTTCCAACTATGATTTTAATTTAAACTTTCAGCAAAAGGATACTTCATCTCTGCTATAGTAAGAGTTATTCAAATTGTTAAGAAAAATGTAAACATCTGTTGCTAGACTGCCTTACCTGTGCTTATTGACCTATTCGATAAATTTAAGTTGATGCTTTTGTCCGAAGTATTATTTGCGACCAGTTTTGCTCTATATCCTTCAAATGTAGAATCAGGCTGAATGGCGGAAATATGCAATTCTAATTGAATCAAGATATTTTTATAAGAGAATTAAAATTCTGAAAATGGGTAAAAATTAAAAATAAATATACTGCTATTTGAATTAACAGTAATTGCCTATTATTTCCGATTTAATCACGATTTCTTGTCCAACTCGAAGAGTTTTCGCTATTTTAGCTTGCAAATCATCTGAAGCTGTAACTGCTGTTGTAAACAGCTGATTCTTAATCGTTGGATCCTATCAAATTAGTACAATAACATTCATAGTTAATACTACCTCTACATTTAGCACTTTTTAAAATAGATAACAATTATTAAGTGAGCTATATTGATAAATTTAATAGTAAATTTTTAAATTAATTTTAATTTATTTCAACGAACCGGTATACTTGCAACTTTAAGAGAAATTTTCCCTAATTCTCGATAATAAACCTTTAGAAAGGTAATAATAAAATATGAACATTTAATAAAACTCGCTCGACATAATAATGTCTTACTTGGTGAACTCTATGCATGTTCGTTAAATTGTGCTTACTAACGCAGTACCGGCACATGTAAATAAATTAGACTGATTTTTTAATGCATGAGTACGAATAGAGAATCTTGAAGGCGTTTAGTAAGATTTACCTTAATTCAATCTGATGTTAGAATACTAACAGATGATACTCCAATTATTCAGTACAGTAGACAAATGAAACTATATTCTCAAAATATATTGCAATTGAAGAGTATTCCTAGCTTTTAACACCTTCATGTTTATATTAGCTTACTTCTGTAAATTTAGTTTTGTAGGCTAAAGATGTGTTCTGAATTTGAGTTCTGGCTAAAATTTCTTCCAGATGGTTCATTTCCTGACTCAGAACAGCTGGATTATCGCTTATGGTGTTTTGTTGCAATAAGATGATTCCCGTTTGAACAGAAATTGTGTTCTAAAGTGTATAATGGAAAGAATAGCTCTATTAAGAAATGTATTTTTCCTTCCCTCAAAAAAGTTAATGTTATGACTTCGATTTTAGTAAATGTATCTGTACTATAGAGAGTTCTGGATTTTCGATGACAATATTTGCAAGTTATTAAAGCTTATATTGACTAAAATAGCACAATAAAAAGTTTGTCGTTAAATATATTACTGTATCTCCCTAACCATCATTAATTCTAAATCTTTGGCTTTCTACAAGGGCTGGTACTAACGAGAAAGCATACAATTAGAAACTCGTTACTTGACTTACATTTCCTGTCAAGATAGCTGAGGGAATACTTGTTCCTGTTAAGATTGTAAGTGATCATTTAAAATCAGTAGATCTTAATCTACTCTACGTTGGGCGTAGGATATTAGATTAATAGTTACTAAAAATAGAAGTTGTAAGTAACCTTACCGTTTACGATCGAAAAAGTCACTGGCTTGCTGGGGGTACACGCTAAAAATCGATTTATAAGGTTAGAATGTGATCGTGACATTAAAGCAAAGTTGGACTTTGCTATATTATATATCGTATATGCCATAAATACTACAGCTAATAGTGATATTTCGGTTTATTTTCGTAACTTAGATGTTGCATGATACTATTTCAGTCTATACCTCCAATATTAAAAGTCATAGAGCTATTGTCGGGATTATCGAGCCGGAAACCCCAGATTGATTTTTGACCAAAATTACCCTTGAAACGATCTATTCGGAGCATGGTAGTTGATCGTGCGTATGGAATTTCGTAAAAGTAAGGCGCTACTCCAAAAGAATAGCCACAAGCTGGTCTCCTAATACTAACTTTATACCATAGCATACCGCCAATTTTATACAGGAAAAATCCAAATAGATTAACTCCATTGGATATAAGAATTAGCTGAAATGTGTTCGTCTACATAAGTAAAGAAATGATTTTAAATTGGATTTACAGTTTTAAAATGGTAGAATATCGCCATTGATAGTCCTGATAGATATTGATTATTGCCTTCGTACCGTTCTCAGATTAACGTAATAATTATAGGGCGCTGGTAGCAAGTCTTGCCATGTAATGATAACCACCTGGCTAACGTTAAAGCTATCAACAGTCCTGTTAAACAATCCATAATTTGTTGAACTAGGATTAGCACGCATATAATCTTGTAAAGCAGCAACATCGTTGGCAGCTCTTTTAAATATTCCTTTAGCTAATGCTGATTGATCTTTAAGAGTATATTCGTGCATAAGGATGCCAGATGTCTTATATCCTCGAGCATCAGCATCAGAATAAAACGGAGCTATTATGGGGATATTTTTAGGAGAAGGAAAGGTTAACGGATAAGGATTTTCATATTTCTTGCCAAAGCTGACATATCCATTGACCGATATCTAAGATCATTGATGTAAAATGAAAATCGATAAATAATCACTCGAAAACACTCAATCTAGAGTTAGTACGATTTCATTACACCGAAAAATTGAAACCTACGTAGAGATTTTTATAACATGACCCTTCGATTGGGATTTCATCCTTTAATGGTAAGCTTACAACATCATCTCTTCCGCTACCGTGTACGGTCTCCTCGTAAATAATAGTATAGAAATCTACAAACCATAAGAAAGTAAGGATAGGTTAAGGCTTTAATCAATCCTCGAATCGATGTCGATGTGACTATTTTGAAGCGTTGTTCATTCTAACCTTCGCAGTAAGTACCATTGCCGTGGTAGCCTTCCCTACACTGGCATCGAAATGAACCAGGTACGTTTGTACAGCTAGCATCTGCTGAGCAAGAACTGGTAATTTTGCATTCATCAATATCTATTATAAGAAGATTTAGAAAGAAAATATTATGTCGGACTTATGCAACTTGGAGATACTAGTCTATAGACATGGAAAGAATTTGCCACTCATTCCAATTATTCGAAATATTTAACCGATTTAAGATGGCACAAACCGGTATCGCAGTTTTTTCCAGTCCATCCAGGATTGCAATTACATGAATATTCCTCTTTAGTCTTATTACATTTACCGTGTATACACGGATTAGGCAAGCAAATATTATTTTCTATAAATTGAATTAATATTTTGAATTCGTTCCGTTCTCAATTATTTTAGCATCATTTAATAAATAATAATTTCAATATTCGATCATGACTAAGGCAGGATTTTATGCAGTAATGAAATTTATTTGAAAACTACCTTCACAAGTACAATTAGAATTATTTGGTATTGGAACACAAGAACTACCAGTACA